GAAGACATCATGGGACGACACGGACTGGGAGAAAGAAACGAAAATGGTGAGAGATTTGCAAATCTATGTGCCTTCAATAAGCTGGTCATAGGCGGCACAATATTCCCACATAAACGCATACACAAAACCACATGGACTTCACCGGATCACTCTACACAAAACCAAATCGACCATATTTGCATCAACAAAACGTTCAGGAGGACTATAGAGGACGTGAGAACCAAGAGAGGAGCTGATATAGTCTCAGATCATCACTTACTGGTCGCCAAGATGAAATTGAAACTCAAGAAGCACTGGACAACGGGGCAGACAGTATCACAAAAGTTCAATACGGCCTTTCTCCAGGATACTAACAAACTCAACAAATTCAAGATAGTCCTCAGCAACAAGTTCCAGGCCTTTCATGATCTACTTAATGGAGAAGGAACTACTGTGGAAAGCAACTGGAAGGGGATCAAAGAGGCAATCACTTCAACATGTCATGAGGTCCTGGGTCACAAGAAGCACCACCACAAGGAATGGATCACTGTTGATACACTGGATAAGATTCAAGAAAGAAGAAACAAGAAGGCAGCGATCAATACCAGCCGAACAAGAGCAGAAAAAGCCAAGGCACAAGCTGAATACACGGAAATAAACAAACAAGTGAAGAGGAGCATCAGAACCGACAAACGTAAATATGTGGAAGATTTAGCAACGACGGCGGAAAAGGCTTCAAGAGAAGGAAACATGAGACAATTGTATGACACGACAAAGAAACTCTCTGGAAATCGCCGCAAACCAGAACGACCAGTGAAAAGCAAGGAAGGCAAGGTAATCACCAACATTGAAGAGCAACAAAACAGGTGGGTAGAACACTTCAAAGAACTCTTGAATCGACCAGCTCCACTGAACCCACCCAACATCGAAGCAGCACCCACGGACCTCCCAGTCAATGTTGGCCCACCAACAATTGAAGAAATCAGCATGGTCATCAAACAAATCAAGAGTGGCAAAGCAGCAGGACCGGACAGCATCCCAGCAGAGGCACTAAAAGCAGACGTAGCGGCAGCTGCAAGGATACTCCGCATTCTCTTCAATAAGATTTGGGATGAGGAACAAGTACCAACAGACTGGAAAGAAGGACTCCTGATCAAAATACCGAAGAAAGGCGATCTCAGCAAGTGTGATAAGTACAGGGGCATCACTCTTCTCTCAATACCGGGAAAAGTCTTCAACAGGGTATTGTTAAACAGGATGAAGGACTGCGTAGACGCCCAACTTCGAGACCAACAGGCAGGATTCCGTAAGGATAGATCGTGTACAGACCAAATCGCAACTCTATGGATCATTGTGGAACAATCAATTGAATGAAATTCATCACTCTACATCAACTTCATTGACTACGAAAAGGCATTTGACAGCGTGGACAGAACAACACTATGGAAACTTCTTCGACACTACGGCGTGCCTCAGAAGATAGTCAATATCATACAGAACTCATATGATGGATTACACTGCAAAATTGTGCATGGAGGACAGTTGACAAAGTCGTTCAAAGTGAAGACCGGTGTTAGGCAAGGTTGCTTACTCTCACCCTTTCTCTTTCTCCTGGTGATCGACTGGATCATGAAGACGTCAACGTCTGAAGGGAAGCGCGGGATACAATGGACATCTAAGATGCAGTTGGATGATCTAGACTTCGCAGACGATCTGGCCCTTCTATCCCAAACGCAACAACAGATGCAGGAGAAGACAAACAGTGTGGCAGCAGTCTCAGCAGCAATAGGTCTCAATATACACAAAGGGAAAAGCAGGATTCTCCGATACAACACAGAATGCACCAATCCAATCACAATTGACGGAGAAGATTTGGAAGATGTAAAAACCTTTACATATTTGGGCAGCATCATTGATGAGCAGGGTGTATCTAATGCAGATGTGAAGGTGCGGATCGGCAAAGCAAGAACAGCATACTTACAACTGAAGAACATCTGGAGCTCAAAGCAACTGTCAATCAACACCAAGGTCAGGATTTTCAATACAAATGTCAAGACAGTTCTACTGTATGGGGCAGAAACCTGGAAAACTACAAAAGCCATCATCCAGAAAATACAGGTGTTTGTTAATAGTTGTCTACGCAAAATACTTCAGATCCATTGGCCGGACACTATTAGCAACAACGTACTGTGGGATAGAACAAACCAGATCCCAGTGGAGGAAGAAATCAGGAAGAAGCGCTGGAAGTGGATAGGACACGCATTGAGGAAAGCACCGAACTGCGTCACAAGACAAGCCCTCACATGGAATCCTGAAGGTCAAAGGAGGAGAGGAAGACCAAAAAACACATTACGCCGAGAACTGGAGAAAGACATGAGAAAAATGAACAAGAATTGGATGGAACTAGAAAAGAAGGCCCAGGACAGAGTGGGTGGGAGAATGCTGGTCAGCGGCCTATGCTCCATTGGGAGTAACAGGCGTAAGTAAGTAAGTAAGTATGATTCTGTGTAGGCAACGATGAAACTTCCACGTAAGATCTTGTATACTAGATAGACATGTCATGAGAAATCTACAAATTAAGGATAAATAAAGTCTATTATTGTAGCAGTACTGATAACGAACCTAGAACATAATTCTACAGATATACACAAATGAAGTCCAACACGGATTCAGGAAAAGCCGGTTCCGTGCGTTTAATCTACTTATAGAACCGAAAACTGAACTAACTGTTGGGATCATAAGATACTTGTGCATGAAATATTTATCAATTTCATGTACTTATATAATAATATAATGATAATACATTTCGGCATGAGCAGGTGTATGCCATTTTTACAGGAATGATCTATAAATTACAACATTTGTTGGTGCACAGCATGCTTCATAAATTATTAAGTATATAGTTGTTATAAAGCAGACTCTTAGAGCGCTTGCTGTAAACCATGACCTTGAGGAGGCGCGTACGTCAAGTTTGTTCCAGACGTGAGAAATTCCATATCTGTGCCCTCAGAGCAAGACTTTGAAGAAAAAAAGAAAGTGTTATATCCCAGTGAAGATTAAATTACAGGTAACTTCCGAAGCCTATTAATGGACTAATATTCAATAAATATTTTTATTGTAAAACTGTTGGGTAATTAGATTATGTATATTTATATTCCTCTTATTATAAGCTTTATTTTGACTTATATTTTATTATTGTACGATTTACGATTCCTAAGCTATGCTCAGTCTATTAATTACTGTCCCCCTCGTTCACAGCCACTTTTTTGGCTTATTTGTGTACACATGTTATTTTCTATTTTATGGTACGTTGTGGTCTGTCTGATTGATATATAAACTATGTCTGAAATAAACGATTCGATTCATATTACAGAAGCTGGTATTGTGTTCTGGACTCAAGTGGAAGGGCTAGGAGGACATAGGACCTATCAGGACGCTAAACTGCTCATACCGGTTGAACGTCATTGGTTTGGCATAGTGCGAAATTGAATAAGTCGTATTCTGACTGGTCGATAAGTCGCGTGACAGAAAGCCAGACATCAAGGTCATAACAGAAAAAGAAACAGAAGAGCAGTAAGGCACTTGGATATGAACGCCAAACGTTGCTTAACATGGTGTAGTAGAACAGACAGTGGTTTAATAAATTAGGTTAAATTCATATTATCTGTTGTTAGAGTGAAATGAAGTCAGCGGCTCCGTATCAGAGAATGTAGTAATGAAGAACAATAGTCGTGTCGTTTAGCAAGTTGGAGTAAGCTCACATGAAGCAAGGGAAGTCAAGGTTGGTACAAGGAAAGCGGATTATCAGGAGTGTGCATATAGAGGGTGAAGTGTTAAGAATACTAATAACTATATCTTTTATTGTCTAACTTTTTTTCCTTTTGTTTAAAACCTAAGCTGTTGAAATGCCATGTTATGGACTTCCTGCCTCGTTTGAAACAAACGCTTAACATCCTTTGTGGAAACTCACTGCTCCAGCTTGGGCCTTTAACCTTAGCTTGAACACTAGCTAAAACTACATAGGATATGAAGCTAAGGCGTAGGAAACATTTCACTTTATGCATAGACAACTTAACGTAAACACTTTTGAGTTGATCTCTACACGTACACCTCCACCTTGAAGCCCACGATGTTGTTCCTTCCTGTTTGTTCCAAAGAGGGACAAATCATTTAAACGAAGTACAGAGACGTGGGTCAAGTGGATAAGAAGCTTAAACATATTTCTTACCAAGACACACTTCAACACTTGAGATTTTTCTCGCCTAGCTACAGATGAATAAGAGATGATCCGTCAATGGAACATAACATATTAATTATGTCAAGCCACCGCAACACGAACAAATTTCGAGAACATCATCGCAAGGCTACTCAAAACAACCCTAAAACATTGCACATCAAAAAGCGAACACACAAATGTGTTCTTAATTTCCCTCGTCAACAGTTGTTCTCATTTGGAATCCTCTCCTAACCGATGTTCAGTTCCGTCTAATTACAAATCTCCGGCTAATTAACTCATTTAATACTCTTGGATAAATCGTCTTCTATTAGCACTCCAATAATCACCGTATCATTTTCATACTGAAAAAAAAATTCCTGCTTTGTAATTTGGTAGTAGGTGGTATCAAGACACCATACTGTTCAGAGAGAAACACAGTCACTCAAATTAAAATATATACAAATCCTCAAATAACCACCAAACTTACTAGAATTATTGCAGTCAGTAAGCTATACTGCCACCCAAAGGACAGTAACAAGTACATAAAAGCATTAGGAAGCAAAAAGAAGCAATCAAAAAACAAGCAATTGTTTTATACTAGCTCGTGAAAAGGACGCTGTATATATTGGGTTCTACTACCAAAAGCATGACATGTTGCTTTCATATTGTACTGATTTAAGAATATAACCATTGAACTTTATCCAGATTTATAATCATACAGAATGCAGATAGACGGTAAATTTTTTTATTTTTGTAGTTGACGCTTATTTTTATAAAGCAAGTTTAATAGTTTATTGACCTTGACGACTTTTGAGTAACCTTGGGGTTAGCATCATCTCAAATTATCAACCGGATCACGGGTGAATGTGCTACCTTTCTTCACTGTTTAGTGGGTATTCCGAGTGCCCTCTTTTATTTAACACGTGTAAGTTGTTTACGTGCTTTGTTATCGTGAACGTTTAATGTTATCTTACGGAGCTTATAAGTATTTGAGTTACATCTGTGACCGAATAGCAGGAAATAATCTATATTTACAAGTACTGTGCTTGTTATTTTCAGTATCAGGTGTCACTGCTTACGATATCTTTAAAGGTTTTCCCAAGAATTTTTGAAAAACGCCACTTATAAGTAGCGTACCTATATATATAGGTAGCGTTAACGCTACCTTTAGGTAATTACCTATATATATAGGTAACGATTGTAATTGTTAGATGCACAGAACTTGTCCAATTAGTTGATGACACTCATGGTCACCAAAATGTATTTAGGGACGCATTCAGGTAAAACTTTACATTGAGAAAAAGAAGCATCATTTGACTTGACGTAAAGATGTGAATGTTAACGTCTGATTTGTTATTAAGATATTCTGTAAATATTTTTACGACAATCAGTGTTCATTATTTCTCTTTGAGGGCAGTTGTCTCGTGAAGAGTCTGAAAAGTGTACTATGAACCGATATGATCTGCTTTGAAGTTACCCATCTAATCTGAACTTGACAATTGATTTCTGCATCAATCGTACATATTATTTCAATCATAATTTAAATGCGAGATGACCCACAACTTTACTTGCTGCTTTAAGTAAGATAAACATAATATAAGCTGGTTCTCTCTACTTAATCGTTTGCTTATTGACCAGTCCAGTTATAAATAATACACATACATTCCAAATTTCATTATTCTGTTTATTCAACGCTTTGGTACATTTCAGATTCACAATTCTGATCATACCTTCTCCGAAATTGAATTCAGTCATGAAAAAATAGCTTCTTGTCGCGCATTATATTTACTGATAGCCCATCACTTTCAAGTGCTTTAATATACTCTTGACTTCTTAAATTAGTTAAAAGCAATGGATGAACCGCAAATTTCTGTTTTGGAGGTAATTAGAAAGCTTGGCATAGTACCTATCTACGGATGGGAAGCTCGCTTTGATCACAAATACAAAATAAAATGCCGTCCTTTTACCGTGCCACGGGCTTCGCAGATGAGCGATATTCTGGGAATGTCTTTTCGGTTAGTTATTAAACATACCATTGTTTTTTAACATTGGGTGTTGTTTTTAGTAAACATTTTGCAAGTAATGTAGAAAATGTTTTCTCAGTAAACCGTCAGAACAAGCATTATTACTACTAAATTTATACCTTATACCCTAAGCGAAGTTATAAAATCTTATTTACATGAATCTTAATAATATTGGTTCAGTTGATTAATTATCGTTTTTAATAATAACCAGTTTGATTCTGGTTCGTCTATGGTTTAGCATTTAAGGTAATTCAACTCCAACCAACAGGTATAACGTTTGAACTAGATTCCAATTCCAGCTTAGGATGGCTAGTAGTACCAGTACAAAAACTTCTACTTGGTAGATGAGTTACAGCCGCATGTTATAGGTGATCAAGCATCTTTAAACATTTGCCATGGCTATTGCATTATAAAAATGTAAAATTGTCCTTTAGCAATCGTGACTGTCGAAAATCAGTTTTAGATCAAATTACCGATGTAACTGAATACGCGATTACTCAAAATAACTTGTGGGACCATAAATCAGCCGCTTTACTAGTTAACAATATCGTTTTCTTTTTATAAAATTCGGTTTACATCAAAAGCTGTTACGCTTAAGTAACCATTTCACTCACAATTAAACTTATTATCATCAAACTCGTTCTTACACAGTTTTTGAAAGCGGCTAGTCCACAGATTTATTGCGTATGCAGCAAATTTAGCTGTGACAACAAAAGTTTAGACTAATGTCCGAAGGAGTGGTACAAAACGTAACAGGTAATAACATGTTGTTTTATAAAAATCAAATTTTGCAGTAAACTTTCAGTTAGGCTAATTATTTTCGTGCAGGGATCGTCCTTAGTATCTACGTGGTTACTAAATTAGTAGTGTATAAAGTTTAAATCACTCTCTAAGCTGATCAAACGTTTGTTCCGAAATTTCGATTAGCATTTATCCGGAACTAGGCTTTTCATTGTTAATACCAGCTTCGTCACATTAATAAATCTGAGGCAACTTGGAACTTTAATTAGTCTTATTATTTTCAGCCTATTGGCTGTGATGGTTAATTTTAAAACTTTTGCATGACTTTTGGGCATCATTCTATCTATTTTCTAAGGTAAAGTTGCAGTTTTTACCACAAATTCAACTGTAAACTGTTGATAATACTTCATTCAAGCATGCTCTGCCTTCATTCTTACCTTGAACTCGTATATGTTTTCCGGGTTATTAGCAAAGTAATCTGGGAGAAATCTAAGGTCACTGCGATCTGTTGTTTGTGATTTTAAATATTCTAAAGATGTTACATTGCTACATAAATCGCAAATTTGCTAGCGACATACTTCTGCAATCGACATTTATTGATTTTTTTGTAAGAATAATACATATGTTATTTATTTATTTCAACACATAAATAGTGGTACAGAGGCACTAAATACATATGCGCCACATAAGTCATTTGATTTGTGTGTAGTCTCTGATATTGCCCGAGTGCTCAGACCGAAGCAGTTGATTTTCTTAGGGGGCCACACACGGAGCCTTTGACCTAAATTTCTGATCCACAAGGTAATGGAGCAACGTCAGGAGATGCAGTCTCATGGCAGCCGGTTCATACTCCATTTGTTCCTTCGGGATGCTGGGGCCGATGTGTACCCTTTGATTTGGAATCAGGGTTTTTCAACCCCCCTAGGTGGACTCTCCGTGTCCACCAACACGGTTGCCCCCGAATGCCCTGGTACGGCCGAGAGTGGGGTGAGTCCGCTCTCCCTCTCGAAATACTCTCACACGGCCGCACGTATACAGCCTCTACCAGGGAAGTCCTACTCATTACCTTCTCGTGGCGGGGGTGTTGTTTACGAAAATGAGAGGACGAAAAGCGAATGTTCGGCGCTTTAACCGGATCACAAACCAATGGTGCACATGGGCTCCAGTATCCTGTGGGAACAAATGGCGTATGAACCAATCTTTGGTCACCGGCTACCATGGGATTGCATCTCCTTATGATGTTCCACTGCCTTGTGGGTTAGACCTTTAGGTCAAAGGCTCGGGGAGTGGCCCCCTAAGATAACCACCTGCTTCGGTTTGGGCACCCGGGCAGTATCACAGCCCACACACAAACGCTATAAGATATGGCTCAGAATAGAAGCCAGTGGCGATCCTGCTGTAACCTTCTTTTACTTTCTTCATAAAAAGTGGTTCTGTCTCCCTTACCTGAAAGATTTCTTCCGATTGTACCTTTGTGTTCCCTGATTACTAGCACATTACCTTACACCAATCTCTTCGTTATTGTTCTCTCTTTTTTTTGTTGTTGCGCTCCTTAGCTTTTTTTTCTTTCTTTGTATTCCTCTCGAATTTTCATTGTTTTGTGTGGCGCATATATATTGGCGCTCTCTTGTACCAATATTCATGTGTCCAAATAAATAAACCAACACGGTTAAAGCGCCAGACATTCGCTTTTAGTCCTCAATTTTGTAAATAACAGTAATGCCGCGAGAAGGCAGTGAGTACGACATCCCTGGCACCTATTGACGGGAAAATGAATTATGACTTATCAGTACCCAGGAAATATTTGAAATTCCGCTCTTATTGATTTTTCAGATACGCTTTCCGGTTTTACATAAAGAAGCGTTTTATTCAGCACCGATCGCCCTTTATTGATGCCGTTTCTCACGTGCCATGGAGACCCATATATGGCGTACCGATTGGAGGTATTGGCAGTGGTTCTATCGGGCGTGGATATTGTGGGGAGTTTTGTCGTTCAAGCCTGATACCAGGTATGTACTGTTACGACGTACAACCTGTTGATCAAGTAAGTTAACACAGACGATTTTCACTTCTCACCTAATGTTGTTATCTGGGTAAAAGGTTATTGTACTTTTTCAAACATGTATTTATCATTGACTAAACAATAACCCATACTCCCTATCTTTTACTGGTCTTCCACTATCTTTCACCTATGGGGTCCGAGAGATGGTACGACACAGTGGCTAGAGACGTTATCAGATATGGCTCAGAATAGAAGCCAGTGGCGATCCTGCTGTAACCTTTTACTTTCTTCGTAAAAAGTGGTTGTATCTTCCTTAACTGCAAGATTTCTTCTGGTTGTACCTCTCCGTTTCCCCCATTATTATTGTTGTCACTATTATTATTATTATTATTATTATTATTATTATTACACTATCTTACACTAATCTGGTCGTTATTGTTCTTTTTTGTTTCTTTTACGCTCCTTACCTTCTTTTTTCTCTTCCTATTCTCATTGTTTTGTGTGGCGCATATATATTTGGTGCCCTCTTGTACCAATAATTATGTGTTTAAATAAATAAATAAATTCTTTCACCTGTTATTTGAGGTTTTAGCATTAGGAATTTACATTAATAAAATCACTACAGTCTATTTAATGATGTGCCATGAAATGTTATCATACATAATTTCAGTGTTGTACTTCGGGCGTTATTGTATTGGAGTTATGGGTGGGTTTTAATAACATATTTGTAATTAGGATAAAAATTCAAACAAAATACATAAAAATTGCTTACTTTTATTCCTATTTGTTTGATGGTATATATATATATATATAGTTCATTCTTGGACCAAACCGGAACATGCAGTACAGAAATCAGTCAAGATAACACACTTCCTTTTCGGATTGCCAGTTTGATTCATGGAATCTTGCTAAAAAATGAAATAATAGCCAGTGTACGTAGAAACCGTTCACCTTGTTATCGAATAATCTTCAGTTGTTAGGACAGTTATTTATTTCTGTATTCAATAACGTAGTTGGGAGAAAGATGTTTCTGTTATCGTTCCTCCTAAGAATTGATACATATCCAGAATTGTTTTGTTATATTAATAGTTCTCATGGGTTTTATATATTTTTGATTATCAGTAAATGTAAATCATCTTTTTGTTTCACATCGCTACAGTCCTTACCATCACACAAAAGTAGAAGCAATACTAAAATAAATAGTGGAATATTTTAGTGTGTAAATGTTATAAAGGATGTTTCTTGTGATATGATTAAACAAAATTTTCTGCTGTCAAAATTAATGAATAGGATTCCAAACGAAAGATGAACGCAGTGAGGTAATGTAGCCGAGTGATGGCTACTCACGAGTTCGTATTGTTGATTTAGGTCTCGATGATCGGTAATTTCCAATGGTTCTCTAAATAGTGTAAATTAGAGTTGAAAATGGCTTTCAAATTATTGTGTTAACTAATTCCACTTGGGATAAATTTGTTACTGTTTCTCTTGTGATGCAAATTTCATGTCTAATTGGGTTTTTCTACATCTTTTACTTTCGTGCATAGAGTTCAAGTTTCATAAGTATTTTTTATTGTATCTGCATTCTTTTTATTTTATTCGCATTCAGTTCATCGTAACAGTCCGAAAAAGCGATGTTACTGTTTATCATCAAGTTCTGTCACCATTAACGAAACCTCCATCAAATGCCAAAAGATTAAAAAAGTGGAAATGGGGTTTTGATCCAGAAAACGGTCATTACGTTGGTTTATATCCTAGATCGTGGACAGTTTATGAAATACCTGAACTTCAACTTGTATTAGTTTGCCAACAGGTATGGAAAATTCAATGAAACATTAGATTTTAACGTTGATGTTTTCGGTTGATAGATAAAATACTTAAACGAATTTAATACCAGTCTAATATTTCATTTTATTGGTATATAGTTTAGATATCCTTGTAATTGTAATGAGTAGTGAGTTTGAAAAGAGTTTTAATTTAACTGTCTTTCAATACTGAAATTGACATTTTTTCTATTTTTAAAAGTAGTGAAAGAAAAAACTAAATATAGGTGATATTGGCTCCACAAATAAATGACTTTTAGGATGTGTGCAAACATTTTTCATGTTGACAGGTTTTTGTTTGGATTGGTTGAGGTTGAACGTTAACCATGTTAGATACCGGCTCAATGGTCTAGAGGTTAAGCGTTTACGCGCAAAACCAAAGGCCCTTGGTTCGAGTCACGCGTGTGGCGTCTTGGATGCGCACTGCTGAGAAATTCCACACAAGGTTGAAACAGACATCCAGTGCTTCCAGGTTTTCAATGGTAGTTTAACATTGATCGGTTCATGGTTTCAATTAAAATGCTCTTATTTGTTTTGTTGTAATTAACGCGAAATACTGTCATTTGGTAACAATAAAGAGATCCACTTGAAACAAAGTTTCATTTGTAAATAAATGAAGTCATGTAATAATAACAAGAGTATTAGAGAATACAATTTTAATTATAGAGTAACTTATGTTGAATTTATTACCTTCAGTATTACATTTTATTCAAAACATAAGTTGCGGAAGAAAACATCGAAGGAAGCGGAGTAAATGGAGATAAAAAAGAACGCATGTATGGTATTCATTTCAGCTATTGTAAACTCACCATCACGAAGCAGTAAATGTATATAAATTTATCGTAACTTAGCCAACGTCTTGTAACTAGGTAGTCAAATTAGTAATGAAGTTGCTGCATCCTCTTTTAATTCTGATGTAAATGGGGCGAAAAGTTCACAGTTAATATCTTTTTTGATTAACGCATGACAAAACTGTTCATTGACTGACTGCGTGTCTGAATAACGGATTTTTCTATTTTATTTTCTGAAGAAACCCCATATGTTTTAGTTATTTCTATTCAGAACCCGTTATGTACCCAATTGGTACTTCATAATACACAATGATTTTAACTGGTGGCACATGTTTGTATTGAATATCCTACTGTACGTTATTTTTTTCAAAAAAACATTGTAAGTATCAGTTCTTTCTTACAAATCTTGTTTATCTAGATATCCCCTGTTATACCGCATGACTATCAGGCAACATGTCTTCCGGTTGCTATATTCTATTGGAAAGTTATAAGCTGGAATAATGAAGATTTAAGGGTTACTATCACATTTTCATGGCATGGCCCCAATCCTCGTAAACGATCTAAATCAAGTGATGTTTCCAAATCTAAGAACGGGAATAATAGCAACGAAAATACTGCAAATACTCATGTTTCCACTTCGGAAAATGCTTCTCCAGTTTACTCCCAACGATCTACTGCTTTTTCTGCTGGTGATAATGTACTGGGATGCCTTTTAGAAAGAACTATTGGAGGTGAACTACCTTGTTGTTTTGGTATCGCAGCTAAATCAATGGACAAAGTAAGTTGCCCATCAATGTTTTCTCAACTCGTGAAGATTGAATTATGTATATTAGTACTTATTTTTGTAGTATCATGCATCGAATCGTCCATTCAGTTTTCTTCAGGATTTCGACTACTTTCTAACCAGTCTACTCTTTATTCCATCTTTCGACAAATAATTTTAATTAAAAACTCTCTTAGAAATATTCATTACATCAGTTTGGGGACATGGAAAGTATTTTATTGACTTTTTAATTCTCGATAGATTTTAATCTGATGTCAATATTTCGAACATTTTATTAGTTTTCGTGTTCATCTCTTAGATATCAGGCACGATCTTTTTCACCAAAAACAGTAAACTCTTTCCTGATTTTGGTTGAATGTTTGCTGTTTACGAAAATAAAGGACTCAGCGTTGTATATTCGTTGTTTATCATAATAGTCATTCCCACTAGGATATCTCTATTCATTTTTTAAAATTGAGTTGTCAGCCCAAAAGGTTAAAAACATCTAATAATCTGTCGTGGTTAGCTGACCTAAGAATAATTTTACTTAATGTTCAGTTTCAATATATATACGTTAGATAATAGTTTTACCTATTGAGCTTAATATTTTGGTGCATCTCTCTTGTAGTTTGATCTTTTCGCTGCTTTTTATTTGAAAAGTGCATTAGTGCGATTTATGTGCATAGCCATCGAAATAAATCTTATCCCTGAATAACCTTAAATTTTCTTTGTACTTTCTCACTGAAGTCGTGTTATTCCATCAGTTTCTTAAGTAAAATTAATAGGATACCGAGTAGAATTTCTAAAAACCCTTTTTAAAACGGTTTACATCATTTTTTGAGGTGATTTTTGACGTCGATTCCTAGAATATATTTTGTTTTTCTTCAAAGATAGTGTGTTTGACATTCTGAAATCTCCAAACACGTTATATGAACTCTGGATTTTTCTCGGTAATGTTTTTCCGGTTATAATTTGGTTAAGAGAAATAGAACTATAGATTCGACATGCTTTTAATTGGTGATTACAGTTATCTTGCAGTGACTATTTTTCAACCTTTGATATGTTGCTCAGCCATCTTACCTTCCATTTAACCGATGGTTTTATACTTTTTACGAATTCTGTTCTTCAATTGTCTGATAATTTTTAATTCTAACTCTAGTAAATCAAGTTGTAATCGCATAAATTGTGTAGCGCATCTATTCCTTTTACGGAGTGCATGAATTTAATACAATCGTACGACTTTTTTTGTGACCTATGAATTGTACTTTTTAACTAAAATTACTCAATACGATTTTCTTTGTAGTTTTTTGACAAGGGGTGGTCTGATTTGTTCACTAAAATCTACGTTATTTTTCTAAGGATATATTGATATATTGAAATTCAACTGAATGAAACAAGTGTGTTTTGTTTCTAAGTGCTCTGAGGACAGAAGGAGGCAAGATGTGTTTACCTATCCATGAGTTTGATTAACTACTTGGATGTTATACTGTGTATTAGAACCTAGTTTTGTTTGAAAATAATAGAACACTACTTTCTTTTTTTTAAATGGCTTAGTGAAACTACCACTGGAATAGACGGATTAATCAAATAAATATATTAGTTTTTAAGTATGATAACACAGTATCATCAAGTAATCTGACTAAAATACTAGGGAGGTTGTGTGATCTGAGCGCAAGGACATTATTACGTTGTTGATAACCATAGAGAAATCTTGTATTACAGTAGTTTCTGAAATGTTATCTTCCATAATCACCTGGCACTTAAATTAATCTGAAAAACGATAAATTCAAAAAAAGTTAATCAGGTTTTGAACCTTTAGATTTCACTTTTTTGCTGCTAAGTTTATTGAGTCCTGTAATGTTTGGTATCTGACGAACTGTTGATAAGAATAGGAAGTGCACATTTTCTTATTATCGACTGGTGAAACAAAAGGCTCAAATTTCTTTGAGGGATTGAGCACGTTTATTCACTTCACTGGGTGAGTAGTCTGATGAGCTTAATTAGTGACCGAAAATCTGTCTCACTTAAATTCATTTTCCTGTAAATCTAGAGCTTATTGCATGATTCTACTCTCCTATTCTATTCGTTCTTTTCAAAGTGTATTTCTTACGTCTAACTTTACGCTGTAGTCAATACTACTGTTTCCCCTCTTCCTGTATTTGGTGTGATACGTGGATATATCTTCTTCCTGTCCTACTTTGCAGTTAATTGTAATAATTCCTAGTTTACGACCCAAAGTGCTTTCGTGCATGACACCAAAATTATGCTTTTAATATTGTCACGTTGGTAATTAGCTAAATAGTCGAATTTGTTGAATATGTTGCTTATTTAAATTCAATTTGTAAAACATCGTTCTTCCGTAACTTTATTGTTTGTTTTCACTTATCGTAAGGTCGAAGTGAGTCGGTGTCCAGGCTTTTGCTTTCACGATAAGGCGTTGCACGGTACCTTGCATGATTCCAGACATAATCCTGAAGTTAGTGGCAATGGTCACTCAGATCTGATAACTTATCTTTCCTACACTAAAGCGCCATCTGCTACACAATTCTGGAATAATCTTCAGTATGGTCAAATACCTCCCGATTTCCATTCAAGTATGAAAATTACTGTAAACTTTTATTAATTTTAGTGATATATGCATCATATACATTTAGTTAAAATAGTCACAGTTTTTTGCTAAAATTCATTTTTTTGCGTGTGAACTGACATCAGTTAATATAAAGTAATAGGAAAAAATATGTTGTTAGATTTATCGGTTACTTTATTTAAAACCTACTGATAAAAGAAAACTGATTCTTAATATGGACTTAATCTATTATTGCTACTTTAACTCTTACACTTAATACAAAGTACACTGACGCATATAAAATATACTTTTTAGTCCCCTTTATGAAGTAATATGTTTGGTTTTTATGATACTTCAATAATAATAACACTCTGCAGTATCAAGTAATATATCTTATGACTTTGGGGATTGAAGAAATCTTCATCTTGGATACTGCTGCTAACTATACAACTTATCGTAACTGGATGGAATTTATACGGTTGTCAATTATTTTGAATGAATGTTTTCAAGTTCATCTACTTCTTGAAGTGTAGCCAAAAATAGTTTTGTACAAACTAGATTAGCATGGTCTGTTAGTAGCTGTGGCTTTGAAAAAGAGTATAAATTCAGATAGTAGTTTTTCTGTTAATTTTTTTGTTAACTGTTCGACGTTTTGTACAAACAAAGACATATTCACAAAGACTTTCTGAATGAAATTAATGTGGTTTTTATGCTGAAAGGGCGTTTAAATTGTGCTTTTTGCTACTGAGTCGTTAGAAATTAAATAAATATGAAACGATTTCATCCTTTTTTTGATTACTTTATTGCTTTTTTTACGCTCAGTTCCTCTGCTCAATGAATACCCCAGATTTTTGTTTCCTTTTGTGATATCTCCACTCACATTTTACTTAAAGTTTCTTTAAATATCATCATGAAGATCTAATCTTGATGGTTTTTTTAAATTTTTGCGCTAATTAGTAGTCTCTATACTCGGGTGTCGTCCACTTTATGCGAGGGTTCACTATCTTTCTCTTTTTAGTTGGTTATACCGTGCCACTGGATTCTGAAGCCAAGAAATCACCCAAACTAGCAATTGCTGTAAGCGCCACAACTAATGTACCCCGATGCAACATCGCTAATAATCTTAATCCTAGTCAAAGCGAACTTGAATTTGCCATCACTTGGCATTCTCCAATAGTAAAATTTCGAACAGGTGACGTTGTTTATACTCGGTACGTAAATTTATTTTGTTTTTCAGTTCGTTTGATGATGGTTTATAAAAAGTTATGTTTTTCATCTACAACGTCGATAATAGTTAATATCTACGACTGATTCTAAAGTTTCAAATCCAGTCGTTGTTTTACTTATTGCAAAATTTAAATACTTTGCAACATATTTTATTCAATCCAATTTTTATGCAGTAGTTATTCAATATTTGTTTGTTTGCAGAAACAATATATTATTAGTGATACCGTAATGAAGGCCAAGTTTTTGTAACATATATCAGTCACTTATCAGCCACTGCTTTATTATTTCCGTGATTGCACCAGGGTATCATATGATCATTTTGAAAGGCACGTTTATTCCTAGCTTAAACAGTAAAAACTCTTCTTATTTAATTTTGTTTCCCATCTATTGAGAAGTTTATGTTGAAATCGCCTCTTGAGGAATTGAGTTCAGTTATGAATCACAGTTCTACTTAAATTAGGTCCCTTGATATAGTTAATATAATAGAATCTTTTAAATCGCTTTGTCCACGACAGTCCAAAATCTTTGAAAGGACTTGCACCTTCTACTTTTCTTTCAATATGTTACTTCATTTTATGCTTACCGAAGTTGTAGTAGCATTGTTTTTTCTAAACCTGTTAAACTCTCTATTATAAAAGACCAATATTTCTTTTATTGCAAACAATGATACTTAACGCTTCGAGTGTTGTTCCCCTATATATCGTCAATTCATTCAAGGCTTGTACTAGTCGTAAGGTTAGTACTCATTCTCGACTTTAGTCTTGGAAACACCAATATCTAATTTTTGTGGTTTTTATAATGTTGGGAAAGCTTTGTTTAATTAAACAAAGCACTATTCACAAGTTTATATTCCCATAGAATGTACATGATCAATTTGCTTGAATGGATTAAAGTTTTGACTAAACAACCCACTGTTCTTAGTTTATTCAGCATATAAATATCAGTATTAAATTACTGTTGTTTCAAAATATGTGCATAAATTCAGAGACCTTTTCACTGTAATGTAGATTTTTATGTTGGTGATTTAACTGATGTTGTGCATTCCCTCTATGTTTTAAAAAAATTTCACAGTCGATATGTTCGTTGGTTTCCTGTTGACGGAATACCTGGAGCTAAGTTGCTACTAAAACATGCAATAGATAATTGGAGGCAATGGGTCCAGAAAATTGAGGATTGGCAAAATCCTATTCTTAACAACCAGTAAGTTTTTGTATTCTCTCATGTTAGATATCGGATCTTGGTGGGGAACGTCTAAAGTAAAGTTTTTCTGTTGTTTCCGCGCTTATCACGCCTATCTCATCTGTAAATGTATTGTTGAATTAAATTGAAATAAATTATCTCGACTTCGTTAAGGTCACTGATATATTGCTTGATTTTTTATTTCCCTTCAAGTTTCTGAACTTGGGAAACAATTTTTTCATCAATTGGTATCATTTCTGCTCACAGATGCGTTGATTTATTTATTTTAATTTATTTTAACACATAGATATTGGTACAAGGAGGCACCAAATACATATGCGTCACGCAAATCTCATTCGATAAGTGTGAGTGCTGTGATACTGCCCGAGTGCCCAAACCGAAGCAGGTGGTTTTCTTAAGGGGCCACTCCCCGAGCCTTCGACCTGAAGGTCTGATCCACAAGGCAGTGGAGCATTGTAAGGAGATGCAGTCCCATGGAAGCCGGTGACCAACGATTGGTTCATACGCTATTTGTTCCCGCATGATACTGGAGCTCATATGCACCATTGATTTGGAATCCGGTTAAGGCGCCGGACATTCGCTCTTCGTCCTCTCATTTTCGTAAACAACACCCCCGCCACGAGAAGGCAGTGAGTAGGACTTCCCTGGCAGAGGCTATATATGCGTGGCTATGTGAGAGCATTTCGAGTGGGAGGGCGGACTCTTCCCACTCGGCCGCACCAGGGGATTCGGGGGTTGAAGCATTATTTGTGTGTGCTGGAACCATTGAATGATCAATGTTAAGGTAAAACTCTAAGTATTAGGTTAGAATGCCACATCAGTTAATGAAATGAGATTGGTTTCATTCATTTGGTAGTTTTTCTTTGGTTCTGAATTACTACAGGTATTATTTATTGTTGATATTTCACTTCCTCTTGTTGTAACAGTCTTGTTCTGACGTACGTTTGAGCATGATTCCATGTTGTTTATATGAACCTAGTGGTTGCATGTAATTTTTTGGTTAATACTTGTACAAGATGACGATGCTTAAATAGGTAGTCTTACTTTTAATTGTATGTCTTGTTTCAAATTATTTATTCATTGTTGTTGCGTGTTATTAACTCTCTGATGTCATATTAATTATTACCACGAATTATTGGTTTGATGTTCTACATACTTCGCCGACATATGTATTGATGTAATATGGATCATAATCAGTACGTCATGGTTCTTCTAAGCAATTATTAATTCTAAATTATTTAATTTTCTGCTCTCCTCAATTGACTAAGTATAGCTCTCATGATAATGTGAGATGTAATGAATAGTACGTGAAAAACTGTATTTAGTTAAGCAATGTATATTTAAGTACTCTCGTAATTTTAATATTACTGTATTGTGATTCATAAACATTTTTTCTTATGTCATAAATGTCATCACAACTGTAACCATTGGATATTGCGTTCTATAACTTTGATTTCATGACATTTTGTTCTGCTTAGTAAAATCATTTCTTTATCCCATACAGATCGCTTCCAAATTGGTATAAGTCTGCTTTATTCAATGAATTATATTATCTTAGTGATGGTGGAACTGTATGGCTAGATCCAATTCAAGTTGATTGTTTTAAATCAGATCTGCTCAATTGTATACCACTAGACCTTGTACGAAGTTACAAAAATGGTGTAGATCTAGACCCGTATAAGTTAACTGGTCGCAAAATTAAAACTCCAACTACAGTAACTGAAGATATGAAAGTCGACTCTTGGGATCATCGTGCTAGATTATCACGTGAAATAGGTTTATTTGGATATCTTGAAGGTAGGTAATAATCTAATTGTTTACATGAAACGATTTTTCACAGTTGTTTTCAGAATATTTACTTTTAGATCGAGTGGGAGGCAAGAACTTCTGAGGTTTATATTAAGCATCACCCTGTGCATTTAAGATTACTTGTTTAATCGTCTACTCGCTCACTAATTAAAAACGTACCATTCACCTAAGTTGATTTGTTAAGAATGAGTTTCTAACATATGTTATGTAAATTTCTTAGGAATAATTCGCATTCGCTTTTAAAAGTGGTAGGATTTATATTGATTCATGTGTCTTTAATTGGATGTTGAAATTTACTTTCCGCTGACAATTCGCACATTTCACATTGATTTGCTGTAATGTGTCTTAAATTACCCCTTTAGAACCAACTAGATTTTGGTTTTTGGTTTCCACTTCAATCAAACTATTTGTTTCACATTTTAACCTGCTACTATGCTATAAATGCTTTTCACTAAGTGATTTGTTATCTGAACTTTGCGTACATTCAACAAAGTTACGTCCACTAGAATTCTAGCCATCACTGCAAGCTTCCTCAGTAGTCTGAAGTTCTTATTAGGTGTTTATTTGTTGATCAATGACAAAATGTCATTTTAAAACGATGTTCAATAATCTCATACAAGAAATGAAGAAAATAATAAAATAAACGGTTAAAACAAACTTAAAAATTCTGAAGAAATATCACCTCTAAAGTTGAATTCTCATAAATTCCATGAATATTATTTGTACAACAGCACATTAGTGGCATTCTCAATCGATTTTTAATATAATTCTCCAGCTGGTTCAAGTTTTATGCTCGTCTAATTATTTTTAGATTCTTCATTTCATTTTATATTTTAGGTCATGAATATCGAATGTACAATACATATGATGTACATCATGATGCATCATGGGCTTTAATCAAATTATGGCCTAAAATACAACTGGCTTTAAATTATGATTGTGCCGATTTGGCTATCGCTGAAGACTCAACTTCAGTCTATTACATTTATAATGGGGAAAAGCTATCCAGAAGTTCCGAGTGTGCGGTTGTTCATGATTTTGGTGATCCGGAAGATGAACCTTGGCGATGCACTAACGCCTACATAATGTTTCCTACTGATAAATGGAAAGATTTGAATTCGAAATTCATCTTACAAGTTTGGCGCGATTGGCGTATTACACAAGACCATCAATATTTATTGTATATGCTTCCTATCGTTTTGGTAAGCTTTTCCTGTGCATATTCATTGTGTAGTCACTAGTAGCAGTCGAATAAAAATACAGTATTTAGTAATGGATTTATTTTATGTCATGGAATATTTTGCATAATAATCTCAGTATCTATTCAACATACCGGTAATGATAAAAAAGTGATGTTTGACACCACTTATCGTCATATTCTTCTACTTTTTTATCAGCACAGTTTACAGGTCTGATAATAAGGACATTTCTTCGTTTTTTCATAAATGTGTTCACGAGATACATGGCTTTGAACCACAATCTAAGGGTAAGGGCCAGCAATACTGCTCAGTTGCCCAAACTGAAGTAGGCAGGGATAGTTTTCGAACCTAGGACTGGGTGACTGATAATTAAATGCCTTAGTAAATGAACCACCACGCCACTAACTGCAGAATTACCTTAAAAATGGTAAAAAATTAATTACCAAATGTTACAGTCATCGTGTGAATCAACTTTCCTTTCAGAATAAATTTAGTTGTGAATGCTTTAACACTTTTATTGTCCCAAATTATTCCATACTTTTGTAATTACATACTAAACGTAATCTTTGCAAGACACCAAAATTTGTAATTAGATTTCACTATAAACAAAGGTCACATATTACTATGAAATACAAAACTAATTTAAAACAGAGGTCTTATTTTACTAACGAATGATATTTCAAACTATAACAATTTATAATAATCATCCCTCTTTTAGTTTCTATTCGTTTCTCATTCTCTTGCTTCCCAACAAAACATCATATTCACATTCTTCTAATGCCGATTATAAGAAGGTGCTTTTAATTATACTTAGGAATCGTCATAATACATTAGGACAAATAAATTGTGTCTGCAGGTAGTTAAACTTCATAAGATCTGAATAAATTTTAGAGCTTATTTGTTGTTTCGATTTCCAGTAAAAATCTGTTGGTCTTTTGACTAATGAGATAAATTACTTACGTGAAGCTGTAATAATATTTATTAGTAATGAAATTACTTGAACTATTTCAGTCAGTTATCATCAACATAGGGCCCGGTATATATGTTCTGTGACTCATGCTTCCGTACTCCATTAGCGCGACGAGATAAATGTAAGATGAAAAACAAAAAAGATTGAAATAATATTGCGCTAATGATAGTGAGAAAGACTGAACACTGGGAATTCGGTTCGAATGGACAAAATGGAAGGTTTACTGGAATTTAGGATCGAGTAAAAAGTAATTCGTAAATGAACTTGTATTATTATGATCGATCCTGAACCATGTCACTAAAACAGCGTGGTCTGAGTCATTTACCAGGTACAGATCCGTGTACTTAATTCTGAGCTACACTGTTGATGTAAGATTTAGTGATGCTGCCCGTTTGCCAAAACCAAAGTACATGTGGAGGGGTTTAATCCTGTGACTTACTGGCTAAAAGTCAAACTTTTTAATTATTGAGCCACCTTTTCACATTTAGATAGCCGACCAATATACGTTGTTGGCATATTTTTTTATTGTTTATGGTTCGTTGATCTCTCTTAATGGTAGACATATATCTTGTCAAAAAAACATTACAAAATTATTTAAGAAACAGATAAACACATGGTGAGTGTTACATTCTTATTCAAACAGACAAAAATGAACGTTAAAGTATCTGATCTATTATGGAATATAGTTAATTGTTTGTCCTAAAACAACATTATGAAAAATGATCAAATCCAATACTTAATTCTTATAAACTATGTGTATTTGTAAATTCACTTGATATTATTTGTTTGTATCTTCCGACTGTTGTTGATACAAGCAAATAATATCAAATGAATTTAAACCTCAGCCCATTGTACAAGCAGGAGGCTATCAGGACTCAGTAGCCAAGTGGATAACGCGGTAGTATTTGAAGCGAACGGTACTGGGTTCGAGGCCCAGAGTAAAAATTAGCTCTGAGATGCACGTACATCCGACTGATGAGTCCTAAATAGGACGAAACGCATGTCTTGGATTCCACTGCTAGCCATCACCTATCTTCGCTTATGTATATTTGTTGTCATAACTATAGAATTTAATTAGAAAGCCAAGTAGTACTTCATATTGATGGAAAACATATGGTAAATATGTACATAATTTACAAACTAACAAAAGAACAATTTAGGAAGTAATCGTAAATCAGTTTACAGGTGTGATTCGCTCAATTTTTCTAGTTTATCTTATGTTTTTCGATAATGTTTTACAGAGATCTTCACAATTTCGCATGCGTATTTCGTTTCAGTTGCACAAAAGCTTTTATTTGATCATTTATTGTTTATACTTTTTGTGTAAAAACATAGGTACACCTGTTTGTACGTCTTCAAATTTTGTATTTATTTTTGTCACAAGCTAATATTATTGTACACCACTGAGCGTTTAACAACTTCCTATTTCGGAACCCCACATTCAATAACTTCACTTAATGATCACGTCTCATTGTGAGCCAAATAATATCAACCCTACTGAGTTTGGATCTAATGATCCATATTTTGAAATTCAGTCGGTTTGTGATATATATCTGTTTAATACTCCTTGGTTCTCAATAGTTCTCTAGTTGAGATAAGATCATCATAAAGTTTATTTTCGGAATATTTAAAAGTTTTTGCGAAACTAACTTAATTCATTATTTAGTGTACATTGACAGTTTATCGAAATAATCTTCAGTATGATCCCTTTCTCAACAATACATATATGAATTTTCTTTATATACAACGGTTTAATCTTCCACGTAACTTCTGTAATCGTCCTCATAATAAGTGTTTACCTCAATTTTGAAACAAACTTTCACTTCACCGCTGATTTATTTGTTGAAAGTAATTATTACAGTGTAATACTTCTACTTGGCTGGTCATTAGAGGTCATGTTAACTTTTGTTGTTGTAAACTTAGCAAAATAATTTATTGCTTCCCTCTTTACTGTTGACATTTGAGGTTATGAGATGATGGAGATTTGTTGCTCAGGTAGATGATTCTGATAGGGTTTTATTCTCTGAGCTGGTTGGTTTGGTTGTGACGTCATCAGCACAAACTCCCGGTAGAAGCGAAGTGTTCCAATTTCTCCACTTATGACTCACAGCTTGTCCTGTAGACCTCGATGTTGGTTGGCTGTTGTTGACCTGTCATTATTTACTTCTTTATTTTGATGGTATCTCCGATCGGTTTGGTTTTTGGTCCTATATTTGTCCATAATTTTCCTGATCGGTTGATATATTTGGATCGATTTTGTTATATCTTGAAAAGCTGATTTTTCTTGATACAACCGCGTATAACTGAGCACTAGAACACCAAACCCTTCCAAGTCGCAATGAGAAGACAGAAGACTAACGAAAGGAATATTATTCCAAACAGTGTCAAACATAGTACAAAATTATCAGGTATTTATAGTTTTTTAGTGGGAACGAAATCATCATTACAGTCTTCCAATCCGCGTACAGGGGGTTATTAGCATTATCCAATGGGGAAGCTACACGTTGGAATTCTAGAACATTCTTCCGACAGGTGATTGGATGGAACGTCTTCGGCTCCTTCTGAGCCTCTTACAGCTTCCTCGAGTTCACCGGTGGTCCGTCGTCACACCTCCCCCCTTTAAAGTCCGTTGTGTAAGATTTTTTTCTTGGATCCACCTGAAGCTTGGGTGTCGCATTCCTCTTGCGCTCCATTACTCTTGAGGGTGGTACAGCCTTCTCTCTGCGTCGTTTGTCTTTTCGATATTTGCTCTCATGATGGTTCTTCGGGAACGAATCTATGAGCAATTGAAATGGAAGCCGGTTTTCTGTGACCACTGTACTATCATTTCTTTGCATTTGATTTATATGTCTTATGCATTTTCCGACACCTTTCCGGACTAGGTACAGTACATTTCCAATTCGACGTTCTATGACACCTGGTTCCCACTTTCTATTACCTTGATACGATCTGACATATATCTTTTCACCCACCTGGAAGCTACGATTGACCTTACGATTTTCATTCGTGGGTTTATTCGTCTTTCTGGGCGGCAACATGCTGTTAAAAACTGTCCGGATTTTCCTTCCGAACATACACTCGGCCGGAGACTTTTCTTCTGGTACTGCCGGATTAGGGGTAACTCTGTAAGACATCAAGAACTTATTAATAACTTGTTCCGGGACACCCTCACCTCCCCCTTTCACCAGAGCTCTTTTAATTGTATCCACGAATCTTTCTGCCTGGCCATTCGACTGAGGATGGTATGGAGGAGATTGTAGATGCAATATGCCATTCTCGTTGCAGAAGCGTTTGAAGGCAGATGACATAAACTGAGTACCATTGTCAGTCACTAAGATCTCTGGAACCCCAAAACAGGCAAACAATCCTGACAATCTTCTTATGGTACTCTCTGAAGTCGTATTCGGCATGTCATATACTTCCGGCCATTTTGTGAAAGCATCTACAACAACTAAGTAATTCCTACCTTGTATCGGTCCGGCGAAATCAGCATGTATTCTTTGCCAAGGCCCGTCCGGTTTAGGCCATGGTTGTGGCTCAGCTCTCGTTGGATTCTTTGCAGCCTCTTGACAGGACCAACAGCTGCGACATTTTTGCTCTATCTCATGGTCCATTGACGGCCAGTATGCATAGCTACGAGCTAGTGACTTCATTTTACTTATCCCCGGATGCCCGCTGTGGAACTGTTTAATGACTTGGTGTCGAAGATTTCTGGGGATAACGATACGATGGCCAAACATTATACATGAATCGACAACTGTTAATGACTCTCGTCGACGAAAGTATTGTAAGAGTTCTCCGTGTAATCTCGATGAAGGCCATTTATTGAGTATGCAATGGCGAACAATCTTTAATACATTATCCTTCTTGCTTGCCTCTTTAATGGCTTCAAATGTGACCGGGAGTCCGGAAACTGCGTCTGACAATATTTTGTGAACCTCGGCCTCGACATCTATAGCAGCTACAAGCACCTCTTCTTCTTGTTTTTCATGCAGACCAATCAATCTTGAGAGTGCATCTGCCTGTCCGAAATCCGTTGTTGGTTGATAATTTATCTTGAAATCATAACCCAGCAGTGTGGTAGCCCATCTCTGTAGCCGGTTTGCTGTATATACCGGGATGCCTTTTTTTAGATCCAAAAACTGTCAGTAAAGGTTTATGATCTGTAAGTAAGGTGAACTGCCGACCAAACAACATCTTGTGGAACTTTTTTACAGCAAATATAATCGCGAGGGCTTCTTTTTCTATTTGGCTGTAGTTTCTTTCAGTCATAGTCAGAGATCTCGCAGCGTGAGCGATTGCTTTCTCAGAACCGTCAGGGTAGGCATGTGAAATTACTGCTCCAATTCCGTAGTTCGACGCATCTGCTGCGACTATAATTGGAAGATCAGGATCATAGTGTGTAAGGAGAAGATTCGATGATAGAAGCTGCTTCAGTTTTAGGAATGCTTCTTGGCATTCAGTTGACCAGAACCATTTAGTATCCTTTTTCAATAAGCAATTAAGAGGAGCACGATGGCGATGCAGATCTGGCAGAAAAACTCCATAATGACTAACCATTCCCAAGAAAGAACGTAAAGTTGACACATCTGTGGGTGGAGGCATGGACTTAATGGCTTCGACATTTTCAGGGTCAGGTTTTCTCCCGTTTTTATCAATTATGAATCCCAAATACCGGACTTGCTCCATGTAAAAATCACATTTTTCGGCACGCAGCCTGAATCCATAATCTGCTACGCGTCTGAGAACCGTATCCACCTTATTCTCTAAATCAGCATAGTCTGTACCCATGATCAATATATCATCGAGATAAGCCGCGGTACCAGGAATGTCTTGTAACATAGTGTCCATAACTTGTTGGAAGATTGAAGGGGCAGTCTTTATTCCAAAAGGAAGTCGGTTATATCGGAACAATCCCTTGTGAGTGTTTATTGTCAAGTAATGCTTACACTCATCCGCTACCGGAATCTGTAGATAAGCGTCTGATAGGTCTAATTTCGCAAAATACTTACCCCCATTCAGTTTCGCAAATAAATCCTCTGGTACCGGCAATGGGTATTGATGGGCTTCAAGCGCTTCATTTAATCCAGTTGAATAATCTGCACATAACCGGATACTTCCATTAGGCTTTTTAACAATCACTATTGGAGCTGCCCAATCAGAAAAGTTTACTGGTTCGATTATTCCACTTCTTTGCAGACGCTCTAATTCTTGTTCAACAATAGGTAGCGCTGCATAAGGTACCGGACGTTTTGGTCTGAAGACGGGGGTGACTCCCGGTTTAAGAATCAATAGTGCTTTAACCTTTTTGCATTCCCCCAACTCTTCCGTAAACACTTGACTGTGTCTTTCCAATACAACACTCTTCAGATCCTTTTCCACCGGTTTACTGGTTCTCACTGCGCTGCATATGTGGTTAATGGGGTGATTTGCTAATTGAAGTGCTTCTATCAAGTCTAGACCTAGCAAATCTAGTCCTGGATTCTGTGTAAGATATAAAGTTGCATTCGTTTTCGCATTTCCTTTCGAGACTGTGCAACAAACCTCTCCAACAATATTTAATTTTCCTCCAGATGCACTGTGAGCTAACTGGGTTGTTGGGAGCACCTGTGGTTTACCGATAAGATTCCAAGTTCTCCGACTAATAAGTGTGATGTCAGAAGCGGTGTCGAGTTGCAGGCGGGCACGCTTTTTATTTATATCCAAGTTTACATACTTTCTCTGGCGGCAAATTCGTGCTCGATTATGTGATACCAATATTTTGTTAGTTCGAGCACTAAATCTGTATTTCTTCGAGTAGGGTTTTAAAGAATGTCGTTTATGGGTTCTTTTTCTGCAGCAGTTTTCTTTATGTCCCTTGCGATGACACTTGCTACAACAATGTTCTTTATATGGGCAGAACCTTTTATAATGCCAACCACCACAAGACCAACATGGAGATGAAGGCTGATTATCTGTGTGCGATGCCTTTCTTGAGCAAGAATCGTTCTTTCCGCTTACAGCACGAACGTATGGCAACTGGCCATTATTTTCGACCATCGAAGTGTCATGCTTTAGGTTTACCAATCTCTGACACTCTGTGGTTACTTCTTGTAGTGTCATATTCGGGCATTGTTCAATTTTACTCAAAATTCTAGTTCTAATATCGGCATCTTCGGGAGATTGGAGGCTGCACACAAATACGAGACACTTAAACTGGTCTTCTGTCATTGCTGATAGTTTGAAGCGCTCACATTCACGGTTTACTAGACCCGCATGCTTCACCCAGTCATCATCACCTGCTTTTGTCATCTTGAGACATTGATAACGAATATTAAACAAGGATGACTGTTCAGCAAAGATTTGCGACAAAATTTCAATCGTTGCATCGAAAGAAAAATCTCTTGGATTCTTTGGAAGGATAAAGTTACTGTAACGTTCATGTTCAACAGTTCCAAGTTTTCGCAAGAGTATTCTGACCTTAGCGGCGTCATCAAGTTTTTTGAGGTCGACCTTGAATAAGTCTTCATATTTCTTGAACCAAGTTTCAAAAGTAATGCCGGCTGAACCATCAAAATTAAATTCATGGATAGAATTAACAATCTGGTCAACATGAGATTTGAAGGGATCATCTGTAACTTCCTTTTGATCCAGGTTCATTTTCTGAGTTAGCATCTCTATCATGCGCATCTGGAACTGTTCAAAACGTTTTTCTTGGCGTTCCAATAAGGCTTCAAATTGTTCAAAGGTAAATGACATATTGGTACAATAACCCGTCGCCAGATGTTATATCTTGAAAAGCTGATTTTTCTTGATACAACCGCGTATAACTGAGCACTAGAACACCAAACCCTTCCAAGTCGCAATGAGAAGACAGAAGACTAACGAAAGGAATATTATTCCAAACAGTGTCAAACATAGTACAAAATTATCAGGTATTTATAGTTTTTTAGTGGGAACGAAATCATCATTACAGTCTTCCAATCCGCGTACAGGGGGTTATTAGCATTATCCAATGGGGAAGCTACACGTTGGAATTCTAGAACATTCTTCCGACAGGTGATTGGATGGAACGTCTTCGGCTCCTTCTGAGCCTCTTACAGCTTCCTCGAGTTCACCGGTGGTCCGTCGTCACAGATTTCAATGTGTTGGTTGATTGCCGGCTGATCTGAGTCCCAAGCTGCTAAAAATTCTCTGGTATTTGCCTCTGTCCAAGATCTCAAAAGTTTTCCAGTCGAATGTGTATCCACATGCATTCATATAAGTGAGGATATGTCGTAGAGTTTGACCGTTAGTTGATGTTCATGAAGGCGAAGACGAAGAGGGCGTCCACTTTGTCCGATGTGTTTTTCGCAGTTGGAACAATTTATATTGTAGATTATGTTCAGTTTTTCTTCTTTTGTCATTTCACCCTTTGGTTTGCATAGAAGTGATTGCACTAATTTTGTTGATTTTTGTGCTAAACCTATTCTGAAAGGCTTCAACAATCTCATTGTAGTTTTTGATATGCCTTTTATATACGGTAGGATAATCCGTTTTTCGGTTTTTGTAATTGACCTTGTTTCTGATTATGCGTTTAGCTGGTAATTTTTGATGAAGTTGATTGGGTAACCATTCTTTTGAAAGATGGTCTTCAGGTATTTTTCTTCATTTTTTCGCGCTGTAATTGTGTTGCAGTGTGTACTCGCCCTCTTGAACAGAGTTTATACGCAGTTGATTTTGTGAGATCTTGGGATGTTGCTATTGTAATTGAACCAAGCTTAGCAAAGGAAACTATCCCTGCTTCTCATGAACGACACAAATCTCGCAAAGTACACGAAGCTTCAAAGTCAAAGTTTACTGGAGCTCATCGATTTAGGCTTAACAACATATCTTCAATGAAGGGTCAGAAACTCAACGATAAGACAAGCTTAACTATTTCGATGCCTCCCAGCCCTTCAAGCTAGGGGGAGAAGACCAGGTTTGCAAGAGGGAAAGGTATTTTGCACAAGCAACCAAAAGCACGGACAAACCAATGGCATTTAAGGTCCTTTCAAGTGGAAAATACGATCTGAAAGTAAAATTGGACGCTTTTGGCACGACAAAGAGAACTTCAAATTTCCAATATAAAATTACAGAAATAAGACGTTTACCAAGTGATTTCTGGGAATCCAGCATCGCCACAAAATTTTTAAAAGTTTTTTTACTCTATAACAGTCTATTAATTAGAAAGTATAATTGTTTCAGTCGTATTTCAGTAATAAGTCTATTTTAAAATGAAAGGAACGCAATAGACTACTTTAAATAATCCTCATCCGACTTTTCGTGAATTTACTGCTGATTTTGGAGTTTTATTTTAATTTTATTTGTCTGACTGACCTCAAACTGTTTTTTGAATATTCACCTCAAAACAAAGAGCATTGTAGTATAATTAATTTTCTGAGATCTGATGTTTTTTGGTCACCAAATTTTTCCAACCTTTTGTTGTTTGAAAGCTGTTCAGTAAGTTTTATTTTTATGTTTATATTTATCAAAAAACACCGATTTATTGCGTCAAAAATTTTCTACTATTCAGAGTTTTATTTAATAAAATCTTGAGATTAACATTTAGTTGATAGCTCTAATTTCTTTTCTATTTTTATAGAGAATTCTGAGGAAGTCTTTGGTAGCATGGGATTCTGATGATGACGGACTAATTGAGAATTCAGGCTTTCCTGATCAAACATATGACGTATGGACTGCAAAAGGCTTAACGTAAGTTCCCAATAACACTTACTAAACCACTCCTCATTCCCATGTGAATTATTTTCAGACTTAACAATAAAGTATTTCATTTCTAATAATTTCTAGTGTCTGAAATTATTTAGACGTAATTTGTTTGTCCTCTTTTTGGAAATTCTCATCTGTATACAATTAAAGTTGATGATTAAACAAAATATCCACCCACTGTCCAGTAGATGTAATTGGTTATCCAGCATTTTCAATTCTTAATGAAGAACTACTTACAAATGGAATGTAATTTTTAAAAACCTCATCTTACTATTTTCAAACTAAAATATATTACTACTCCTATCGTTCTTTTTATAACTAATTAATGATTCATTTCAAACCTTGCAAAATGGTTAATTTAAATATTTCTGAAGTTATTGTATGATTTATATTGGTAATCATAACGTGCAAATTTAGACATATTAATGAATTAAGATAGCAGTGAGATTTTTAACATAATTTTTTTCAAATGATGCCTGTAGAATGTTATACAAATGTACTCAATAATTCATGATCTGTATATTTATTCACCAGTTACACCTGTTACAGCTCTTGTAAGCTCGTATAGCTCAGAGGTACTAAAGTAGATAAAATAAGGAATACGTTACTTTTATCACATTGTATCATGTTTTAGCACTGCTAGGCTTACTTGTATAAAATCAATAAAAGAAATCGACTTCTGGAAATTTAACTTTGCTAAATTCTACCGTAATAGAAAAGCAGAATAATCAAGTGGTTTTTACATTTTCTTCCTTTCATTTCCGTTTGGTATTATCAACATAGTTCCTTTCGACGAGACTGTAATTTATGGACGAACCAATCGGATTTAGGATAACAGGTCTCGAATTTGGCATGAAATTCATCCATTCATTTGGCTAAATAGCATTTTGGCATTTTAGCTTATGTCAGTTCGTGATGAAAACCCTAAATCTAGTTCCTAACTTTAACCACCAACTGTAAATCGTAATTTTAATTCCTCACGCTGATATATAACCCTCCTTTAGTTCTAGTTGGTATGTGGACATTCTCAAAGTCACTTTTGCGTCGCTCATAGGTCGTCTATAAATTATAGTCTCACCTTTCTTCCCTCAATTTTACGGAGCTGAAAAATGTTTCCCTTGATCTTCATACGTAACATAATTCTACAAGGCTGATGTGTGTACCGACAGTTTCATTAAGCGAAAACAAGTTTTAATTGGACAGGCCATTTGGATTTGTATAGATTCTTATATGATCATAGAGATCAATGAAATCTCAGTTTGGAAAGTTCGCTTGGGATTTTCGGATACATATTGTGTCCAGTTATCGTATCTGAATTCTTGTCAACGTTTATGTACGTAACAACAAAATTAATTGTCTTATACCATAACCTGCAATAACTGAGAGTAATAGAGTGCAATAATCAGATTTCCCACAATATTTGTTATGTGTGATAAAACCACCCTGTTTGATATATCAGTTTTAGTTGTGGATATTTTCTAGAGAGCGATGGTTGTTTTATCGAATACTCACATTTACGCTTATTTTAGTTGTTTGAGGTGTATGTTACGCATAACTAATCATTACTTACTTCGAATTGTGATGGCTAGATCCAAATTATGACATATTGGACCATACGCATTCATTTCTTACGTCCTCAGTCCGTGACCCCTCCGTACATATCTGTTGTTTGTTCTATTACATACATATTTTTGTTAATTTTATTTTTTCAGGTCTGTTTCGAGATGTGAATGCCTAGTTTTACATATTATCGTACAAAGTTATACTTTTTTATTGTTCTTTCAAAATGTGGAGGTCTACCTGGATAATTTGCTACAAATGAGTTCACTAACGCACCTACTTATCCGTGATTATTAGTAGTATAGTATGCAGTCTTAGAAAATTTAGAGATATCGACTTCAGATCGTTATACTTCATGTGCCACTTTATCTAACAGAAACTAAAAAGGATCATCAATGTGTAGGAACGGTTGATTTAGTTTCAGAGCCGGACACTGAAATATTTAGCAAACTGTTCAAATGGTTTGCTATTTTTCAAAAATATGAATGAATAACTGTTGGATTGTGTGAACTCTGAAGATGTCTGATTCATCCTGAACGAAATTAATAGCTCTACCAGACATTTATATTTTGGAATATTGGTAGGTTTCGATGTGATTTCTACGAGGTCATTCAATTATAAAACCTTGTGTTTAGCTACCTTTCAGCCTGATTATAAGACACACCACCTGTATTTTCTAGCCTTTTTAATTCCCCTGTTATGGGAATGATTTTTAGAAGGACTATGGTGTTGTTTTGTTTATCTCGATAACTGTTTCAGTCATGAAGCCTTAATCGTCTTGCCGTAAATGATTATGAAGATAGATTTCAATTGAATGAAAATTCATTGTATTTATATAAAATGTGACTAATTGTTATTAGTAAATCTGATGCCGGTTTCAGACATGTATTTGAATTATTTGTTAAATCTAGAATCAACATATTTTTGGGTGTTTTTAGCACACCAAACTTTCAGGAGAGTCGTTTTCCTCCTTCTCTTTTAGTAAAATAGCTGTTTCAAGCATTCGTATGACGTATCCGCTCCTTTATGTGTCACATTTAATTGCATGAGCTTTTATTCCACACATCAAACGTAACCGTTGTTAATATGATAGCTTTCGGGATATTTCAGAACAATGCATAGTGTTCTTGCATGTTTAACTTATTCGTAATTACTTAGATACGAACTATTTAAATGATTGACAGGATTTTACTCGTTTGAGTATTTTTGTGGATAGTTAACGTTTTGAGTTGACTATACTGTAACACCAGGCATAACTGACACTTTTGTAACTGAATTAAATATTATCTGAGTTTTTTAATGCTTTTGTACCATTCTTTAGTGCTTACACTGGTGGCATATGGCTCTCTTGTCTATATGCTACATTTGATATGCTCTCTTGGTGTTTAAAAAGTGATTCACCTGTATATGATCAAATAGTTAATAATACAGATGATACTCAACGTTCTTGGAGTGAAGTTAAAGATGAAATTCAAGCATTATTCATTAAAGCACGTGATTCATACAATGCCAAACTATGGACAGGTAGATAGTTTTAATTTTCAAGTAAAATAATTTCTCTACTTTACTGAAGAAAAATATTCGATCTAAAGTGGTTGTTAGTTTCTCAGTCTTGACTACATACTCTCTACACTGTTAAGCTGTATGACTATCATAACTCATCTGTATTATTGTTTTTGATTGTGCGACTTGAGTAGTAGACTTATGATTTATAAATTACTTAATTCCAAAAATAGTACCACCTACAGAGTGTATATATTACTGTACACCTGTTTGTATTCATAACTAAGGATTATGATTAGTTAAGGGATTATCTTTAAAGATTCATGTATTGAACGTGAAGTTTTTGAAGACTTTAATTTGATGTATTTCTAGTTCTCTGCTAATCACTGTATTTTAAAATCATATTTTCACCACAGAAAATGTCTTTTTATTTTAACATACTGACTTACCTTTCTTATTCATTTATTCTTTATGATTTAGTGTGTATAAAATGTAGACTAATATGGTAGGTATCATCACCACTATTTGACTTGATAATTTCAAATAAATTGAGCATTGGTTAGATTGTTATCAATAAAAGTAATGTACTTGTAACATCCTAGTTTGTAGGAAAATCAAATTGTGTTATTTGCAAATTAGAGAGGTCATTTAATAAAGTTCAGAGTGATTTGGAGTAAAATGTCCAGTCACAATTAGCATAATAGTATAATAGCAAAAATGAAAATGCAAAAAATCGTGTGAATAAAATGCATAGTAGGAGAATTTCATCTTGTCGATTGAGATAATAATAATAATATTTCTGTGTGAATATAATATGTAATAAAAGGGGGGTTATCATGGTAATTACGATAAATAAATAAAAAGATTTCATGTCAATTGGGAATGATGGATATGAAGATTAAGACAGATGTCATAAAAAATCGGGAAGGGGGGTGAGGGATTTATAATATTCAGTTTATGTATCCAGTGATTAAATAGTATATTTGCTTTGGCGGTAAGATATAACTAAGAAACGATATGTCTGTTTTCAGTTCTAGAAACGTCTAAGGAAAGTCTTAAATAGACGCAAGAAGTCCGGGTTTTATTTTCTAACATATGAAGAGATCACGCTTATTGTTCTGGATAATAATCACTGCGTAAAAATTACATGTCTTTTATGTATAGAAGGCAATAAAGTTTACAAAAAATATAAATCCTATCCAATAGTTTACAAAAATCTCCAGAAGTAATCGACTTCCGTTCCTCTGTCAATAAAATAAAATAAAATGCTGAAGTATGTTTAGCAAGTGTAGTTGGTGTGTTCACTGCTGCAGTCAAAAAAAGATATGTAAAAGTCAGATTGAATGTGATTCATCATATCAGTCTATCTTTTATTCGTTGACACGTAAGCTATCGCTAACTATCCATACCCTGTACTAAAAACATAAATCAAGCTTCATCTACACCAATGAACATCCTGTGAACTTGACGGATTCCTCTCTTATTGATAACTTCTGGACAATCCATTACAAAGTTATACTAAATCTATTCAAGGATTCCGACGTGTATATATAGTCGAAACATTTGAAATCTGTGGTTTAAACCTGAGCGTGTCGACTGCTTCACTTATCTGGGAAGTTTCATCAGCCCTTGTGGTCTGGTATGTGACGAAATCTCAGAACGGATACAGAAGACTCGACTAGTTTTTGCCAACTTACGTCATTTATGGCGTAGGCGAGATATCCGTCTATCAACCAAAGGACGTGTTTACTGCGCATCGGTTCTTTCTGTCCTACTTTATGGCAGTGAAACATGGCCGGTAAGAGTAGGGGATATTCGTAAATTACTAGTATTTGATCATAGGTGTCTTCAAACATTGCTCGTATATCCTGGGACCATCGAGTAAGTAACACAGTTGTTAGGACACGGGTACTAGGTAAGGATGGCAAATCAATTGATGACGTAGTGAAACTTGATCAGTTGAGATGGTTGGGACACGTGTTACGTATGCCGAACCACTGTCTGCCTCGACGTGCGACGTTTTATGATGTAGGAGTAGGTTTGAAAAAAGTTAGGGGCGGCCAAACCAAAACATGGCACAAATCCATGAAGTCACTGACAAGTAGACTGAGCCGTGTTGGCAGGTGTAGACTACTTGGTTGGGGACCGCGAGATGATAGCAACCGATGGTTAGAGACCCTGAATGATGACATGGCTCAAAATCGTTTGCAATGGTGCAGGTGCATCCACTCTTTGTGTTATCCTAAATTCTAATCTTCTGAATTCTTCATGTCCATTTTTTTCCAAATTGATTTCACTGGATTATACTCCTTGAGTAACATCTTCAAATCGTGATCTTACCGATTACTGCTCATACTCTTACTACCTCTCCCACTGTGGGATTTGAATCGACCACTGCATCTCTGTGCTAATGTGGTATGGCAACTCGAACTGATGTACGTACGTACGAAGTTCTACGTTGTTACTGACTGACTGATTTAAACCCTATTTTTGTGTTCAAAACAGTATACGTGAGCTGTTTTTTCTCACACATACACCAACACGGAGTGAGGCTGGACGCGATGTACTAGGGAACAATAGTGAATCAGTTGATGAGGTTGCAAATCTTCATCATGCGCATGCCTGAACTCCGATTATGACAATGCGCAATGCTGACTAGTGTCGGAAACAGTTGAACGGAAGTCAGTGCTGCCAAATTAAAACGTGGCATCAGTCCTTGAAGTCAATAATTTCTAGTCTTAGTTATATTGGTAGGTGCAGACTACTTGGATAGGGTTCGCGTGACTATCGTAACCAGTGGTTGGAGACTGTGTGACATGGCTCAGAATCGATCACAATAGCGTAGGTGTATATACTCTCTATCTTCCCTTAAACTGTGAGATTAAAATTGCTTTATAACTTTCTTCCTTCGAACTAATTTTTATTTCCTGTACTATCTCCTTATACACAATCTTCCTTTTATATATTACTACCACTAAAGTAACTACTTGTATGAATTCGGTGTTCATCTTATTGTGCTAATGAAGTATGGCAACTTGGACCGATACATATATGTGCCTGGTCCTACTTTGTAGCTGATTGACATGGAGTTTCACATTTACGTAAAATCACTTATATAGTCAATCACAAAGAAAATAGTATATACTCTATCGACCGATATTATATTCGGTAAGGTGTATGCAACTTTAATCATTAAAAGAAAAGATCTTGCGATCATGTTCTAATGTTTGTTGTATTAGCACGTATATGTAGTTCGTGCAAATGCTATTAGTAACAGTATTAGTAGTAGCATTACTATTATTATTATAGCGATTGGTAACTGTGAATCATTTCTTTATAACCATGGAATTATATGGTTAAGAAATTTTAAGGAATGTGTAGTATAAAAATACTTGCTTGTAGTCTTCTAAGCTAATTAAATCACCGTAAATAATAATTGAATAATACTACTAACAGTGATTTATTATAATTCAGTGAAGATAAAATGTTTGGATTAAGCAGGTCATAGCTATCTGCTCTTTTATGTTAAATGATCAATACATAACGTTCACTAACAGCGAGTAATATGAGTCTTCTCTATTACCAACCTTTTACTCAAATTATAGTTTTTTTTAAATGTCAGAACTGTTTATTATTTCACTATTACCAACCTGTTTGTGTTATACATATTTGTAACGTAGATTTTATTATTACTAGTTAAGAAAAACTATTATAAATTGCGGTGTGATTTTACAATCTAACTGTTAAAATTTATGTATCAGTGTTCAGTGATACTTCTAGTAGTAGTCACTTTCGAATCAAAATGTTTCCTGTTAACTGAAATTTCAAAATAATTCCTTATTACATGAAATTAAACTCTGGGTTGATGTTATCTTCTTGTTCCAAATTAAAGCTGGAAAAAAATGTAATGAATGATTGAGTATAATAACAGAGTTGGAAGGTTTAGATATCCTTCAAGGATCAAAGTAAGTTTACACGAGTAAATGAGAAAAGATTCTAGTAATATCGCACTGTTTTAGTGTGAGTTTCTATAAGTTCATAAACTGGCTTTTGATTAAAGTATATAACCCCTATGTAATATGAGTTCTCACACGTTTTGATGTACTAAAAAAGATTGGTCTGACAGAACTTCTCTTATCTCATTTCAGCTTATACGATGGTCAAGTCCTAATACTCGTATTAAGGCACTTTAACGTTGTTTGCCTTTGTTTTACAGTAATCAGTCTTATTTACTAAATCCGCTTAAATATTTATGAAATAAAATGAACCAATTCCTCCCACTATTTATGTTAAGTCTACATAGCCTCCTATTGTCTTAGTAAGGCTGTAGTGAACAAGGGCACCCGTGGCGAAAAATTACAGTTGTTAATAAAATCTAACAACCATATAGTAAATGCTCAATTTGCAAAATGACTATCAATTTTCTCAAAATGACTCAGACTTCATTGTTCTTGCATTTTCATACAAATTGCATTCTGTTTCCATTCTTTACTGCTTGATCCTCTTGTCTCTGCTGCTAGACATTCTGTTCCTGAGTAACGTCATATACTACTTATGTCAATATAAGTAGCACACACCGCAAGACTACTACCTGTTTGCATGATGTAAAATACAACAATGCTTCTCCTAGTTACAAACCGATTGAGTGACTATACGTTTTCAACATTAAGGTGACATGACATTTCTTCGAGTAGCACATCTACGCCATGGCGGTATGCTGTTTTTGACTTGTATCAAAAATGCTACTAGATGCATGGTTACTAATGGATGATAGAATCTAGATTCTTGGCTCATAGTATTTCATAAAGTCTGATTTTTCGTCTACTATTAAAGGTCCAGTTAATATCGATGGTCAATAAATAAAGGTAGTCAAAGGATGCCACTTCATTGGTAAGTTTGCTGATGTATTTCTTTTCAGTTTAGGAGTTTCAAACTTTTCTCTCTTTTTACTCTTAAGGTTCGTATTACGCTTTCCAAACACACTGTACTCGTAGACGTGAAGTTATTATGGCCGGTCAGTTAAGCGGATATTGGTTTTCCCGTATCACTGGAGTTCCGCCGAACTTGGTATGTTTCGGAAAGTAAAATTAACCGTCACTTGCTAAGGAAATCACATTTAGCATTAGGTCTCATCGTGACAATGTTAACTTAGGACCGTTGAAATCTCAGTAACTGGAAACCAATCTATCAATAAAGAGCAGTAGACTTTAAATCAAATCGATTCCTAGTCGTACAAACTGTCCATTTATTTCGTGATAACTGTTTGCTTTCATGTATTTAGATATTTTTGATGCTTCCGATGTGTGTGTAAAATGTAGTGTTAGAGGGATTTGGTTTCACAAAAAACATTATGTACATTGTGATACAGAACATTTGTAGCTCAGAATGAGGCTTTTGGTGTTTTGTTCTTTGAACTGGATGGTTTAGTCAACAGGTAAGTGATGAACAACTGATAAACGACAGTCCAGATTAGAGGTGAGGACTTTCCATGTGATCGACATATATTTATAGACAAGATTTAACCACATTCCAAATCAACGGAATAGGTTGTTAGTTAATTGTGAAAAAGTCTAATAGCTCTCTTCCTCTTGGAATGTGTACTGATGATGTTTAAAAGGAAAGTGAAGGCTTCATAATCAAACCACTCAGTTCAGAGAATAAATCACTTACAAGATCTACAAAGTGAATGTACAGGAAAAATATGCAACATGACACATGGACAACGTTCCAACCAAATACTCAATAACCTTACAAAAACCAGTTAATGGTTTTTTTATACTCTTTCGTATATGCTTATTTATTTATTTAAACACATAAATATTGGTACAAAGGGGCACTGAATACAAATGCGCCACACAGGTCACTTGACTAGTCTGTGGGCTATGATACTTCCTGGGTGCCCAAACCGAAGCAGGTGGTTTTTTTTGGGGGGGGCACACCTGGAACCTTTGACCTAAAAGTCTGATCCGCAAGGGAGTGGAGTAACGTCAGGAGATATAGTCCCATGGTAGCCAGTAACCAATAACTGGTTCATGTTCCATTTGTTCCTTCAGGATCCTGGAGTTCACCTTTGGTTTGGAGTCGGATTTCCAACCCCCAAGTGGACTCTCCGTGTCCACCGACCCGGTTAAAGAGCCGGACATTCTCTTTTCGTCCTCTCAATTTCATAAACAAAAGCGGTGCCGCGAGAAGGCAGTGGCTGTATACGCGTGGCCATGTGAGAGCATTTCAAGAGGGAGTGTTTTACTAAATACGAACATTGATATAGATCACCAGGTTACTTGAAATATTAAATCAAATGAAACAGTTAAGATATAGCGTTGTTGAGTAACTTTGTGTTATGATGTACTATTACAAAGTTTATGCCCCCTTTCTTATAGTTTGTGGAATTATAAAGATAGCAGAACCATATGATTATTTCAGGTAAAGTGATATACTTCTAAGAAAGCAGGGTGGGAGTTCTGAACTAACCTAAATTTCTGGGAATCTCTGTAGTGCTATTATTGTAACTCTTCTTAGCTTGAGGAACATAACTAAAACTCCAATTCAAGTTTTTGTTAAACCGTTTAAAAAGTGAGCTGCGTCGATACTATGAATCTTATTTTATCCATTGGCATTCATGACTCTACTGTAGGCTATTTTTTATTCTTTGGGTCCTTATACGATAACTAACATTAGTAAAAGCTCAAATGTTCCGTCGAAATAATTCGTGTTCTTTTTTTCTTCAGATTTTACCTAAAAATCATGTAGTGAAAACCCTACAGACAATTTCGAATTGCAATTGGCATGGTATAGAAAATGGTACTATAGGTGCAATTAACGGTTGTCGTCCAGTCTGTAAACCTGACCTTAGTAGTATTCAGGCAGAAGAATTCTGGGTCGGTGTGAACTATTCACTTTCTGCTCTTATGATAGCCGAGGTATGGACCGGCTTAATAGTTATTTCAAAAATTTGTTTCCTCGTTAATCTTTAGTATGTTACGTTGCATTGATGAATTCTCATTACTTCTAATTCACATCAAAGTCATGCGAAACCTTTGATGTATAAATCACACTATTTCCTACCTTGATTAGTCAGTTGAGTAAGATCTTTGTGTACCACACAATTTTATCATTTGATTCTTAAAGTTCATTGACGTATTGTTTGAATATAATAGTCAAAATTCATAATTGAATCTACCTAGTGGACATTCAGTTGTTTCATAATATAGAGTAAGTGAACTTCTTTATACAAATCTATCATTAAGTGGAAAGACTGATCCTTTTTAATCTAGCTACTTATCCACCTTCCTCTATTTGAGTATATTTACGTGCATGTTGTACTTTTTTTACAATGAATACTATAGTATTGATGACAAAGATATTTCTCCGCTAGTTGACTTGCTAATCTTTCGTCAGGATAGTGTTTTAAAGTCGATTTTTGAAAGTTAGTTTCGAAAATTAATGACAAGTATGTCTTATTACAGGAGCATTCGCAATTATTGTAGTCTTTGTATACAATGATAATAATTTTGTACTATGACACTACGGGGGATGTGTTTATTTCAAATGCTTGTAAGCAATATAAAAAATTAACGTCTTCAGTTTATTCAGTATTGTTGGTTAGACAAATTCAATTTTCCAGATGCATTTTAACCAATTAAATGTATTAATCATATGCCTTTGGTGCTTATCTACATGTTAACAATATCCTGCTCACCATATCGTAATCTCTATAATAGGATTTCATGTAATTGTAGAATGCTAGCGATATAGTTAAAGAGCTTGAATTTCAGCCAGTAGGCGACAGATTCGAACCCCATTTCAGCTATAGTGATTTAAGCGACTAATTAGTATCACTATCCCCTTACACAACAAAATACATGGTAAAATTTATGTGCTTGTTAAATGAGCTGCACTTCAATAGAATCCAAGTAAAGAACAGAAATATATTGTAAAAAGAACATATGAAATCGGAGAATGTTAAGCATCGAATGATATGACGTACAAAATGTTGAGAAAGATAAGAAACGAATGTATCGGCGACTGCTTTAACCCACTATATACAACTACAGATCAAACTTTATCTTGCTACTCTACTTCTGGAAATGTCCATCTGCCGACACCGCTCGGTCCGACAGTCTTGAAGTTAGATCGAGAAAAGCGGACTGTTTATCATCCTTACATTTATGCACGTAAAGTTGTTTAGTAATCATCTTACTTTTCTTCTGTGTTAGGGAATGATTAACGAGGGATTGGCTCTCGGCGAAAAATGCTACAACACTATTTACAATCTTTACGGATTGCAATACCAAACACCTGAAGCATACATGTCCGATGGTCGTTTTCGTTGTCCTGGATATATGCGTGCATTGGCTATTTGGAGTATTCAACAGGCATTAGAATTCACCAACATATACAAATACTCAGATGCTTCAAAATTTAGTGCTACATTTACAGACATTTAGGCTTGAAATAGTAAAGATAATTCAATAAGCAAACAATTGTACCTAAATTTATACTGTAAGCCATACTGATCCTTTGTTAACTTGTTTGTTACATTTCGAGTACTTTATTTTTTATGATTACTCCGCTCCTACATTAGGGAAAAATGGATCGTTATAGTTATTTTACTTTTTTTCTTCTATATATAGTTATGGAGATTTATCCAAGTGACTTTCTTCAAATCCTGCTTCTTTCTATATTCTGTCGAGAACAATTTCGATAACTTTTCTATTTTAAAATTTATAACGTAAGGGTAAAACATTTATTTTATTTACTAAGTATTACATTTCCATATATATATTGCTTTTCCAGATTGTTTTCGTAGACAAAGCCTTCATTGTCAATATAGTGTTTATTTTGTGTGTTAATCAAGAAAATAATTATTCCAAGTATATTAACTGAATGTGATCGGTTATTGGCTAATAAACAGAGCGTTACTAGCAAAACTTAGGGAGCTGTTCCTAACAACTAGTTGTAACAAGAATAACTGTATTGTATATATATATTTTTAATGTAATTTGGACTTGTGTTAGTGGCGGAGTTCATTCCAGCAACAACATCGTGATGATGATTTAACTGTATTTGCTCTCGTAAAGAATAACTCGTACAAAACATTGCTTCGCTCATTGTATTCCGTTGAAACAGGTGAGCATTACTTTAATTGTTTGATATACTCTTCCGAATTTATCTAGTTCCTGAAAGAGTATTCATTTTTATGAGTCTGTAACTGCAACTTTGATTATATACTGTTGTGTTCTTTTTTAACAATGAGAGCTTTTCCATCATGGTAAACTCTCGGACCGAATGTACGCTGTACTCAAGGCCAGACTCAACGTTTTATTGTCCTTCACGGAGCTTTGTCTTTTAACATCCTTTTAAAACTAGATATGCATTCAAGTGAGAAACAGTATAGGAACTCAGGGAGGAAGCAGTCCCTTTTACCTTTCCTAGGACCTTGAAGTGACCTACTAGTGCTATATAACTGCTTGACTGCGCATCTTTATAACTTGCCTGACGCATATCTAACTGGCATTCAGTAGGTGTAACACTACGTCAATGTCGAATACACTTTGGTGTACACTCATTGAAAGTAAGGGATAAAGTCTTTGATGTTAACTTAAGTCAGATAATCATGGAAGGATAGTTGCATGCTCTAAATTGCTGTCAACAAAAATGTAGAAACTTATTGCGAATTTCGTTCCGTCGGGCTGCTATTTAGATAATGGGAACCAGGTTCAAATTTCAAAATAATAAATTTAAGTAAACAATTGTGAAAATTTATTCGTACTCGTGCTTTTTATGTGTTGAGTGCTTAATTACTGAATAAAAATTAGATTTCTTATTAATAGAAGGCAATTTAGTCATTCTTCACGTATTAATCTATCTTCGTCATTTTTTGGCCCTACGTATATAAACAACATAGTATTACACGGAGATGCTGACAAGATTTTTTGAAGTTTTTCAGCTGAAAACAGTCAGTAAAGTCGGCAGGTGTCTTTGGAAACTGTTACGAATCAAACAAGATGTTTGAATTTAGGTGGTATATGTATGTAGCAACTATTTGATTACAAAATTCGAGGCATCCGTCCCCTGTATATCTCCCGAGTGAGTAATCTATAAGTAGGGGGTTAGTTGTTAGGCAGAATTGGTAATTTGTTTGGCGTCTCACAAACCATTACCGATCGTAGTGAATGGTGTATGTGTTACACATGCCTATCACGAGACGCAATGTTGACGCAGAGTGTGTTCGAAGCCGACAGACATCAGTCTATGAAATCACTAGCTTCCATCGAGTTGCATTGATAAGTGTGGACTCCTCGCTTGGGATCAATAGGATAACTACCGGGTAATATGGCCTCAAGCTGTTGACAGATGAATTCATACTTCATCTCCCCCTAAATCTTTAGTTTAATTTCAACCTCACTTGTTTTTTTCGAACCATACGTTTTATGTTCACCTTTTCACACTAGTGGATGTTGACATTTCCCTATTTTTAGGATTGAGTGCTAAGAGCTAGTGTCGAGAAATATCACGCTGCAGACTGCGCTTGAAATAGGCCTGAAAGCTATCCTGCTACACTTGATCTTTTATAAAAACATCTGACCAGTTTATCACTGATTTAACTGAGTATGGCAACCGTGATATGAGTGCTTACATTTTGAATCTCAAAGATTTGTTCAAGTGCTAGTAATTCTATAAATGGTACTAGTGACCAGACAATGTGCACGTTTACTATTACGTCAATCGTAATAAGAAGTGCTTATGACAACAAGCAAGATAGGTAGCTGGAAAATAGTGGTTACTGTGGCACTTATTTTTCTTAGCTAATAAAGCATCAAGACAACTAGACGCAGATAACTTTATGATTCATACGACACTATTCGCAATATATTCTTAGGATGTAAAGACCCTCATTACTTTCTAATCTTAACTTCCGACTCAATGAAAGCCTATTACTAACTCGTACGTAGAGCCGAACTACTTTCATACATTATATAATATTCCAGCCATAGATTTTTGAACTCAACTTCTGTTCAAAACGAAATCAGCAAAACAGGATTAGTCTATTAATTACTGGCTGGAAGCTTTAGTCGATAAGCAACTGATGCAACTATTTCTGATGTTCTTTCGTCATATCCACAGTGCGAAAAAGCATACGATAAGGGGATTCAAGTGATTCTCAAGAAACACGAAATCGGGTTGAAGGAAGATTGAGATCTTCAGACTTGAAAGAGAAACTGGGAGCTGACAAAGATGAATATCGACAAACATTCGCCAAAACTAATAATAATTCTCCTAGTCAATCATGGTCAAGGTGGGACCTAGTCAGATCTGCATCATCCGAGTTACCGACTCAAAGCGTACTTGGATTCTCTAATATAGAGGACGGTCGCTAAGTAGTGTAGTCCAAGCCGATCATGAAGATAATTTGGGCCAACAAACCAGTGAAACATCGGTTGAAACGGTCATACGTTAAATCTGTATGCTGATCGATATCACGATTTACCATTTACTTTACTATACAATCGGATATGTCGAGAAAGTTGACGAGTGGAGCATTTTTCAGCTACAAAGTAGGACCAGGCACATATATGTATCGGTCCAAGTTGCCATACTTCATTAGCACAATAAGATGAACACCGAATTCATACAAGTAGTTACTTTAGTGGTAGTAATATATAAAAGGAAGATTGTGTATAAGGAGATAGTACAGGAAATAAAAATTAGTTCGAAGGAAGAAAGTTATAAAGCAATTTTAATCTCACAGTTTAAGGGAAGATAGAGAGTATATACACCTACGCCATTGTGATCGATTCTGAGCCATGTCACACAGTCTCCAACCGCTGGTTACGATAGTCACGCGAACCCTATCCAAGTAGTCTGCACCTACCAATATAACTAAGACTAGAAATTATTGACTTCAAGGACTGATGCCACGTTTTAGTTTGGCAGCACTGACTTCCGTTCAACTGTTTCCGACACTAGTCAGCATTGCGCATTGTCATAATCGGAGTTCAGGCATGCGCAACACGTTGCCGAACCATCTCAGTTGATGAAGATTTGCAACCTCATCAACTGATTTACCATCATTCTTTGCGTCTAACCTCACTATTAATTATCCGGTGATCCCAGCAAATGCCAGTAATATTTCTAAGACAAATATTAGTAACTTACGACTTCTACACTTAATGACCACGCTTCACAGCCGTAAAGTAGAACAGAACGAACTGCCGAGCAGTATACTCGTCCGTCTCTTGATGGACAGATATCTCGCCTTTGCCGTAGGTGACGTAAACTGGCAAAAGCCAGACGGATTTTTCGAATCCGTGCAGAGATTTCATCAGACATCAACCCATTAGGTCTGACCAGACTTCCAAGATAAGTGAAGTTGTCGACGCGTGCGACTACTTCACTCTCCACCCTTAGTTCAGGTGTTGACGCAGGCAACAATTTTTATTTGGAGGGGGAGAAACACATCCCAAACATCCTGGCATTGTTGCTCAGTGCTACCGGGAAACTCTACCTTTCACCAGTTGTTCTTCCTCGTTTGAGATTAGCTACAGCCTTTCGAACTTCTGCTAGAGTCGCGGGACGAACTTCAACATTCCATTCAGACTGTTTTGAAATTATAGGCAGTCGTAGAGTGGCTGAATGTCAGCTAAACTGCTCCTTGAAATATTTCGCTCATCGTTCTAAACGTTTGGGCTGAGAGTAGATACGCATGTTGTCTTTTCCTGAGACTTCTTATTTCCAGTTCCCTTGTTAATCTGGAGTGGAGTGTTTACGTCTAGAAGTTCGCGTTCCACCGTGTTGTAGACTACTGAAACACACTACTACACCACGAATCGTCTTTCACTGATACCTCTAACGTGAAATCAGGTCTCCAATAGACGTTGCATCATCGACGAAAGATAACTGCCGTTTTGTTCATTTACAGAAATAGGCCGTGTGTTGGGAAAAATCACTTCAAGATTAAGGGTCTTAATTTTTTTGAAATTTGATGAATTGCAAAAGGTGAAAAAACAGGTATGTGAATTTAAGGCAGGTAACATGTTTACTGGTACAATTAAACGTCCATATAAAACAAAGTAATTTAGGTGGTCAGATTCCACCATACACGTATGGTAAAATTTAACTATATGTATAAACAAAGTTCCAGTAGTTTTAATAAGGTAATTATCTCACACTAAAGTGAACGGTAAAGACACTAACTGTGACCTTTTGATAGCGTATAAACATCTGTTAGCAGAACATGGTACTTCCTAGATGTCCATGCTAGGATAGCAGACCAGTGTAGGGACGACAACGACCATAAATCCGACCGAAAAGATGACATTTCTAAGATATATTAGTCTAATTGCTAACTTACGACGGTTTTTAATTTCATTGTATAAATTCCCCAGAAGCACCGCTAAAGAGAGAATTGACCCAACTATACCCAGCCACATGTACCGTCGAAGGATACATGGCCATACTCTCCAGTGTCCTCTGAGTAACTGTATGTCGACATATAGTCCAACAGACCCAAACAGAACTGGAAATAAAAACGACAGAACTCACTTGAAAATGAACAACAAACTGCAGTCTCTACATCTCGCACTGTGATATAAAATATATTGAAGCATACTCCAACCAAGATACCAATAACCTGGTAAATTGATTTTATCTTTACATTTCTTTGGACATTAAACCCTAATGGTGAAGATAACATATGATGTTTGTAAATGACGACCTTGGTAAATGGTACCTGAAACTCAGCGACCGACGAAGGACACTACGTTCGTTCTCAAGGTCGAACTCGCTGTTGGATGTTGAAGACACTACTATTTTACTGATGAACGTCTCGGAATATTTAACAAATTGTGATATGATAAGTAGCACCTTATGAAATGAGATATATGTCTAGATGTTTAATGACTGCATAAGAAAGCACTACTGAGCATTCTATCTAACACGCATCTCCAAAGTACTATGTAATGAAAATTAAACCTGTTATTCATTATGAGTAATAAGCTATCGACCAGAGATATTCAATAAACGCCGCTCTATGCTCTCCCGTACATTTTTACGAGTGTTATTCAGTACAATTCTCGATGTAATATTTGTGGTAAATTCCCAAGTTTGGGCTCCCTATAAGAGGACTGTTCTAAAGTTTATGTTGACACTTCTGACTTAAATCTTGTTATCAAAGCATGCCAACCCGGAAAAATCTGAAGTTCGAAGTCGGGTGAACTTATCCGCAACGCAACCATGTAAACTTAATGTATCGCACACTGTCATCTGTGCGTTGAAGTAACAACAGATTTTGTCATTCCATAATGTATTTTTAATTAAATAACTAGATTATGTAGTTAATTTTGTTCTGTTTTTAATTTTTATTCGCCACGTCCGACTGCGTTGCACAGTATGTCCATTGCACGCTGGGATGATATTTCAAGTCATAGTGAGTTTATTCACATAGTTGATTGTTTCCAGATAGACTGTCAGTGCATGATTTTACTGAAGAAAGGTTTTTTGTACTGTAAACTGTGTTTCTATGAACAACTCCCTGTTGTCTTCAGTATGAAAGCAGTATATATGTATCCCCCTATTTTTTCTTAGGTAAGTTCAACTGGCCTATATTTCGTGTTTTGGTTTTATCGGCTTAATTATGTCCATTTAACTACTTTGAGCAACATATCTGTGCAAATGAAACAATAACTATGACACTTGCTTAGTTTAGTGTTCTTGGTTGTCATATAATTCAGTTTAGTTGAAAGAATTATGATATACTTAAGTATAGTGCTTGAAGCCTGTAACGAAACAGATCAGTTTAGTAAGTAGAGTTGCCTGTTTCTAATGTGTATACGGATTCAGATCAGTCTGATTAAAAACAGAAAAAAAGTGCCTTTGATGCTGTTGCTGTCATACATTATAAGATAGCGATAAGTATGTTTGGTGTTTATTTCTAAACTGTACATCTATCACTGACCATATTTCATGATCACTGTCATTAAACAATTTCCCCAGCAATAACATCGGTAGCAAGATAACTAAGTGTCTGAGCTTTTAGTTGCCCGCAAAACAGCAGTTAACAGTCTTAGAAGATGAGTGTTCTGTGTCTCAATTAAATGCAGCTGGCTGTAAACAAATGTTAAGAATCTTTTTGACAACTGAGACTTTTAGTTTATCAGACACTCTGCTTGTATGTTTTCCTGTTAAAGTAGACACAGATGGATGGGAATACTTAAATGGGAGCAAAATAATAAAAGCATTGCAATACGGTACTAAGCCCATGTTATGCTTTGCGCAAGTAATAGTAGCTGACCTTATATAATATTCATGAACTCAAGGTAAATCACAACTGCATAAATTCTTTCCTAAAATACGTGTAATTTGGTTACTTATCTATTCCACATTTCTGACTAAATTCATCACTATTTTTTTCATTTCGAATGCAACAGGAGTGAGCTTTCACAGATCCCAAAAACTGGAACTACGAATGTTGTAGAAATAGAGTTTCTCGGGGTGTACGAAGCACTCGGACTGTAAGACAGTTGTGCAAAAATAATTCGAATATGAAGGTGAAAATTTGCAGGTACTTTTCATCGTAAGGGTGGATATATTAGGTACCAGTTGACATCATACCGTAGAAAAACACAAATTTGCGAGTGGTGATATATGATCTATAAAAAATTGAGCTTAATAACAGTTAATTACCCTGTAGCGTGGCATCGAGTTGAGATTAACTATGAACACCGCTACCAAGAAACACGTGCCAAGTGAATCAGAAGGCGAAGGTTGAACGTAACCAAAGAAGCCCATAAGATCTCCGAGAAGCCAAATACCAGAAAGCAAGTAATGGACCAAGTCGAGATATGTATTTGCTGGCGATCTCGTGGTATCGAAAGGATACCGAGATCGTGCCAGGATACAAGCTTGGTTACAGAACGTAACCGAATTCGCGCGAAGTTACAATCAAAGTGTAAGTATATGAGTGGAAGCACAACATATCTGTCATTAGCACAGTCAAACAAAAGCACATTAAAACAAACACTGGTACAGTTGGTCATAATAATAATTGTTTTTATTAAACCAGTCGTGTTCTCGTGATAAACGTGAGTCACTACAACCCTTTTACTCCCTGATCATGACCCTTCGACTTCCTTTTATGGCCAAAACAGCAAATATACACTACACACTGGTAGCAGATTTCCGGCTTTTCAGTGTTAAGCTTGCTTTAACGCACTTCGTAATGAGTACAACCCCTCTATTACTGCTATATAGCATATTTTTCATAACAAACTCTCTGCAATAGATTGGTAGCATCTGTGACTTCATCTATAGTTGTCGGAAGTCTGGGTCCTTTCGAAATCAATATCGATATACCTTAATTCTGGGCACTCTGTATAAGTTTGACTCGTTGATGGGATAGTGTTGTCTATGATTCTGAAAAAAATTAAAAACCGTAGATTGTTTCCTTTCATTTTGCCGATAACACCATAAAGGACAGTTAGGAAGGAATATACGAACAGTTAGAGTCACAGGTGACAGCAACAATTATTTTAGCTAAATGAAAACGAACTTCGACTTTGGATATCTAGAAACAAGGTAAAACATAACCGATTGTCGTTTAAAAACGTAAGGTCTTATGTTAGTACTAGCCAGCTTAGCTGAATAAATACAGTGACTTCAGCAGTAGCAGGAAACATTTTGCTCCAACGTTTAGAGTATTACACTAACTTCTGGATTTTAGCACACTGAAACAATAAATTCTATAGCTACACAAAAGAAATAGCGGAGAAAACGCAGAACGAACAAGACTAGCCAGATTGCCTAAAGAAATACATTGACTTGAGTAGAAGCAGCAAAAACCCAGAAAACATCGCTGATTGGAAATAAACTTCACACCAACATATAGAACATTACATTAACTGCGGCATTTTAGCACACTGAGACATTAAATTTTAAGCATCACATAAGAAATAGCTGAACGAAGAAAGCCGACCGCCATTGCTTACGAAGATGACGGATGTGATTATTCCCGCCTCATTCTGATTGGTTGATAAGCTGAAGGGCACATTTACGAAATTGAGTTGCGTTTAATTGCAACCTTTGAAGTCACATTCGAAGGGCAATCGATATCTCAGCAAGCGTTTAGTCTAAGCTGGCTAAACATTATAGTGGATGCGTAGAACGGAGTGCCCACTCGTGACCTGGTTCCACCGCAAATCTGAGGAGTTCCAGTTCGGAAAGAATAGGGGGGTTGATGGCCTCTTTTAGTCCTGTCAATGGTGGTCTCTCGGTTGATCCAACTTTCTTTTGAAAGAGTCGACGGATGGAGCTCAACCACGTGCTGAGTTAATGAATTCCACTCGTTGATGATTCAATGGGAAAGTCGATAGTCAGCTGACAAGAAATTCTTTCTGCGCTTGTGAACATCTTTGTGGTGTCCTCGTAAATTCGCTTTTTTTGAAGACAAGAAAAATGAGGGCATATCAGGTGCGAATTTATCGCTTAGCAATTTGAAAATTGTAATCAAGTAGCCTCTAGTTCTACGATATGACAACGGTAATAGGCTTAGCTTGGCCAGTCGAGCATCAAACGGGAGCTTCGTTATTCCGGGAATTAGCTTAGTTACCGTTCTCTGAACTTTTTAAAATTTCACTGTCTCTTTAAAGCAGGGACTAGCCTCTTGTGTGTAGTACTTAAGTTTAGAACGCACGAGTGCGTCCTGAGTTTGATCCTGAAAAATCGAAACAAAGAAGCAGCAATGCACTTGGATAGGAACGATAAACAATGTTTAACATTTTGTAGTGGAACAGACAGAGGTATGATAAAGTAGTAGATTAAACCCATATTAGCTCTAGCTGCTGGAGTGAAATGTGTTTAGACCTCCAGACGAGACAGTACAGTGATGGAGAAAAATGAGTTGTGTTAAAAATTACAAAGTGTAGTAGGTTCGAATGATTGAAGGGAAGTCGGAGTCAGAATAAAGAAGAACGGAAAGTGCATCAAGAAAGCAAATTGCTGAGAAACACTGATAACTACATCTTTTATTATTATTGTCTTTAGTGGTTCTCCAAGTTTCCACCCCATTCAGTAGAACTGTTTTGACATTTGTATTGAAAAATCCTGACGTTGGCGTTGGTTGACAGTTGTTTTGAGTCCCAGATGTTCTTCAGTTGTAAATATGCTGCTCTTGCTTTATCGATCCGCGCTTTCACATCTACATCAGATCCACCACCGTGTTCATCAATGATGCTGCTTAAATATGTAAAGGTTTTTGCATCTTCTAAATCTTCTCCGTCCGTTGTGATTGGATTGGTGTATGCTGTGTTGTGTCGGAGAATTCCGCCTTTCCCTTCGTGTATATTGAGATCTACCGCTGCTGAGGCTGCTGCTACACTGGTCGTTTTCTCCTGAATTTGCTGTTGCGTTTGCGATAGGAGGGCCAGATCACCTGCGAAGTCTAGATCTTCCAACTGCATCCTAGATGTCCACTGTATTCCATGCTTCCCTTCAGATGTTGACATTTTTATGATCCAGTCGAACACCGGGAGATAGAGAAAGGGTGAAAGTAAGCAACCTAGCCTGATACCGGTCTTTACCTCGAACGAGTTTGTCAGTTGTCCTCTATACACGATTTTGCAGTTTAATCCATCATAGGGATTCCGTATGATATTAACTATCTTCTGAGGCACGCGGTAGTATCGAAGAAGCTTTTATAGTGTTGTCCTGTAAACGCTATCAAATTTCTCCTCGTAGTCAATGAAGTTGATGTAGAGCGATGAATTCCACAATGACCCGTA